TTTTCACGATTGGTCGTTTCCTCTCTCTAACTCAAGGCTCTCTTCTTCCAGCTCAAGGATGCCATAACAGTAAGTACCATATAGCTGGAAAGAATCTTGTGCTTGTGTTTGTTTTTACGTGTTTGAAAAACCAGAAAGATGTCTGTTATGACATGTCAAAAAGTGTATCATGTTGTGTACGCAGCTGCTCATATATGTTTATTAGAGGCAGGCTCTGTGGTTATCTATTAGGACTTGAATTGGTTTAGACCCCACCTCTCTCTGTCTAAATCTCTTCTGTAAAACGACAAAACAAATGTAAGTCAGCTTGGGATGGAGAAGGATGGCCATGCTGTGTCAAAAATGAAGGTAGCACAGTGTGTGCAGCCCTCTAATGATCTTTTTTTTTCTCTATTCCAGCTAGAAGAAGTGTTTTTTGTCTTGGCTGCGTTTCTCCGTTCTGCTCCATGCTTATCAAGATTGATGCTCTACTGCCATCCCGCTCCACATCACTGCCGCTTCTAGAAGCCGACCTGTGAACCAGCCCATCGGCTGTGGTCAAGATCTATCCATCCATATCGACGATTGCGTGTGCTTTTTGCTTTGACCTGGACCTGAGGAAATCGTTAAAAGCCTCATCTTCTTCCTTGCGTTCCTATATTTATCTTTTCTTTCTCTGTGTGTTTTTATTTTGCTTTGTATATTTTATTATTACTGCTTATCCCCTCCCCTTCCCTCTCTCGCTCTCTCCCGCTTGGCATCCCTATCGTCTAGTAGCCGCTGTTCCGTATCCATCTTCGGATGTTGCATCGCCTCATGCGAACGGCATACTCCCCACCCCAGGCAGCCTTCGGGCGTAAGTCCGGTCATTACCATTTATCCCAGCCACGGGTCAAAAGTGCGCTGGTGGTCCCCTGTGAATTCAGGGAATGCCTTGCGTAAGTACTTGCTTTCTCTCTCACACACTCCGTGTACGGGTGGAATTACCTGGACAGGGCTAAGATTTCTTTTTTTGTGAGTTACAAAAGCTCTTAATTATTTTTATAAATAGATACATGCCACACTTCCCTCGCTTGTAAAGAAAATAGGAAAGAAGCCATAACTGAATGCTTAAAAACATTCTTCAACGAAAGAGACAAAGGTTAATAAATTGTCTTATTTGTCGTGGCATGTAGTGATGGAGGAGTAGATGTCTATAATTAAGTGTATTGATATGTGATCGGCTGCATGCATGTGTGGCGTGAAATGAAGTACACAGAGTGTGTAGAGTGCGTATATATTTACATGTTGTTTGTAGCGTGTTATGGTTTAACAGTATTTTTCAGATCACCCTCGTTGTCGGAGACCGTACCTGATTCAAGATCCCGCTTCATGCGCTGGGTCTTTTCTTTAAGTTCGGCCAATGCGTCGAAAATAGTGGACGTGATCTTTATTCGTGCTTCGGTCTCGCTGATTTTTCCTGCCCGCCAAGCATCCAAAGTGTCCTGGAAATCTATTGGGTCACCGAATGCAAGCGTAATCGGTTTGAAGAATTGGACTGGCGGTCCATGCAACGGGCGAACCTGCGCCATACCTGTCAAAGATCAGCAATAAACGTCATCGAAATATTTTTTTATTTTAGCGTGTGTGTCTTTCTTTTGCCATCCAACTCAATTGTGTTCATTCATTCACTCGTGCATATCGTATCTATATACAGTCTACCCCCGCCAACAATCTCGTCTCTCTCTCTCTCTCTCTCTCCATCTTGCATAATGTAAATATATGTTACCATTGTGCCACACAGGTACCACGATTGGACATCGGTCGGATTCCATAATGATTCGCCCAATGCCCCACTTAAACCTTATCATGGATGTTGTTTGGTTCACACGCGCCTCCGGAAATATATGGATCCAGCCGTTCTGATTTGATTTATAGATGGCAAAATCGACACCAGGTTGATAGATACCTGAGCCACGGATAGTGGGGATTGCTTGGCCGAGTGAGAAGAACATGGATCGGAACCTGGAAATAGGGAGGTTAGCTATGTCCCCCGGGATGAAGGATGTGATGATGGACTGCGGGTGCAGTATCCAGAACTGAGACGACGCTGTGCAGGAGAAAGAAGGTTTTCGGTCCAAGTAAATCAGGTAACTAACCACTTACAGGGTTGTAAAGCAGATATCTGCAGCTCCAAGTACCCATCGCATCTTGTGCGGTGAAAATAACGTCTCTATCGGCAACACACCCCACAATATTGGATCATCCCAAACGGACTCGTGGTTGGATACTATGGCGATGGCGACGACGACGACGAAAAGAGGGAAAATGATTTAGTGACCAATGAAGAAGGAGGGACCAAAAACACCCATCCCGTCATGATCTTACCTGTAATAAGGGCCCGTTCTCGATCCTCCTGCTCTACAACCTCCAATAATTTGTCTAGGTTGTATACGCGTGTATGCTCAAAGTATTTGAGAAATATCTTGGCAACCGTACCGACGCCTCCTACAACTAGCGTGTTTCCGGCATTCCATAGCCATCCATTGCTGTGTTCTTCGGCCCATTTAGGATCGTATCGTTTCTCGATGAATTTGGGTATACTGGACCACTGAAATAATAAAGGCTTCTTGGCATGTGTCTGGCCTACTTGACCAACGAATTCTTCCGAGTCGCCATTAATGTTGTCAACTGCTTTTTTGTTTTTCGACGATGCATAATAATAACATCCAGTGCCAACGAGTCCCGTAACAAAGCCAATTCTAAACTTGCTGTCGAGCGCTCGAATTCGTAATCTCATCGCATTCGCTTTTCACTTTCTCAAGTTTGTGTGTTGGAACACAAGTTATTTTTCTGGTTGACAACTGTTTTCTTGTGTTCTTTCCTCTCGCGTTCCCGGTCTTTCTTCCGCACCGGAGGATATTTCATCCGATTTGCCTGAAGGAGAATGTATATAGTCGTCCAGTGTGACTTGTACCCCAGAGCCGGATAGCATTGAGATCTAAGCTCCCTTTATGCAGACAGCGCATATATAAAATCTATTATTTTTCATTCAAATAAACAACCTCCCTCTTAATCCGCTACTCGACCTTTTGTCTCCGTTAAGACAACCGTTACGTATACGAGCGGACGTACAATGTAATAGTCTAAGAAGCCACATCGATCGTTATAAGGATGCCCTGATATTGACGGATATTACGGATGTTATTATAGTCACATATACTCTTTATCTATTGTATCCTGCCTTAAGTCGTAAAAGATTGTATCGAGCCCATCTTGTTTCGTTCACGGTACATACTCGCTCCTCTCATTATCCTCATCCCCATAGTTCAGTATTATAAGTAATATGATTCTCACTCGTTATCTATGTATTGGCAGACCAAATCGCCTGTCTTTAAATTTTACAACACAATAGATCCTCTTTCAGACAACAGCATTACTGTAGAAGTAATAGCATTAAAAAAATCGAAGTAAAAGTAAACACTGGTACCGGTAGTGACCAGTATATTGCACGGGTTTAAATGGGTTTTCATTGGCTCAAGAGCTATGACCCTAGATACGTGAAATGTGTATTATTGTTACTACTGTACTCTACACTGAGAATAGTTGAGAGAGTTGTCCTCAAACCTATTAGATTGTATATGAGGCAGCAGTAGTAATATAATCCTTTGTTTTATTGGATCCGCCTTGTTAGGCTTGATATTAAATCATTGCCCGTATAGTACAAAAAGTCGTATTTACTCATATATCTCATACATAATATGTATCGCTTAATGTGTCTTTTTTCTGTTATAACTTCTACTTTATTTTTTTATCTTTGATTGATATCATCCTCCAAATCTCGCCAGCCTCTTACGACGCATTTCCTCCACATCATCCACAGGTTTTTGTAGACTTGCTTCAATGGCTTTAGCTAGCTGTACTTCCTCATCATCCTCATCATCATCGCTTTGATCCGTCTTTTGCTGTTCTAACGTTGTATCTGCTAATGAATATCCACGACCAGAGAAAGCTGCATCTTGTTTCTTGTCTGGTGAAGACAAGCTGGTGTTGTTGACGATAGTGGTTGGATCCGGTAAAGTAATTGCAAGTCGGTCGGCCGGCGTTTCAGGTAAGGTGCCCCGTATAACAAACACGGAATAATCTAACAATAATATTGAGTGTTGATATTGAAGCCGATTCCTTCTGCACAGATCAAGCAAATGTAATATCCCAAAATGAACCCATACTTTCACTTTGAATTTGTTGAAGAAGCATAGTAAGATACGTTTCGCTCAAATATGTTGGCCCATTTTGGGTCGAATTTAAGTTGTACCAGCGCCATGGAACCGTGAACTTGCGAAGCGTAAACCTTGTGGTGGTGTATTATAAGGCATATGGCATGAGCATATTTGTAGTGCTTTTCTTTGCTCTAACTTTCTCGTCTTACCAGTGCTCAGCAAGATTGCATATGTATGCTACTTCGTTTCTTTCATCATAACAGAAAAGTGGTAATATTAGCAAACTGTCTTTTTGTTACGGCACTGCTTTTTTCATTGATGACATACTAGGCGATTGATAAATTTGAACTTACTGTGGCTGTTCGCGTGCTTGTTTCGCTTCTTCTGAATTCCATGCTATCAGCTGTAAATTCCAAACAGAGAGTGCCTCTTGGATAACCTAATTGCGCGTAGAAGTTTTTTTCTCGATTAAAAAGGGACTATGCTCGGCTTTTCCGTAAAGTTATCGGCTTTTACCTGAACTGAAAAGTAACCCGAGTCGTCAAAGTTGCTTCCTTGCTGTTGTGCCGATCGTCCCTGATTCGTCAGCATTGCGTTCTCCTGATCGTCTAGCCTTTGCCCAATCGTCGCCAGATCAACAGCTGTAAAGTAACTTCCTTGTAACAACGCACTATTTTCAAATCAATGCATCGTTACTTTATGTACATATACGTGGACGTTTATGGTTGCTGTTACAAGTCATTGCTATGGGGAGTATATTACTTGAGAGCGTGCTGAGCGCACAAGTGTCCTTCTTGCTTAAGTTCAAACGGTAACATATATCGTGTTAGACAAAGTCAGTTGCATCCTTTTGCATGGTGTTTTACGTGAGCATGCACGCTTTGTATTGTCCTTGTGTATGTGGGTGTTTTCTTCTCTCGTACTTTTTCAAAAAATATATCTGGTACCAGATCCATGCGTGTCTACTGTGTAGCAGGTTAAAAGAGGAAAGAGCGTAAAACGCCAACACACGCATACACATATCATCAATTGAAGAACCGCATTTTATACCGGCGAGGTTAAACCATTCATACAACACATTAAAGAACACATTTACAGTTATATCTAATCTTGTTTGCTGGCTTCTCTAAGAATAGCATGATAATTTTCAGAGTTGCGTTTCAAAATATCCATTACAGGTCCTAACAACCGCGTAAACGCCTTTTTGCCCAGGGTGACACATTTTAAGCGACCATGCGCGACGACTGTAGCGGCCCGCGGGTTGTCATGGAGAAGTGCCAGTTCACCAAAATAGTCACCTTGAAAATCGCACGCAAAAAGGAAATAAGGTTAGGGCTGCCACTCTTCTTCTTTTTCTTCCACACCACCAAACAGTTTATCATCGGTCTACTACCTTTGCTACTACGGTTTACTTCACTCTGTGTTCCATCCTCGGCTGTCTTGTAAAAGATAGCTTCGCCATCCTCTATAAGATAAAAGTTCTGGCCAACGTCACCCTCACGCATTACCACTTGTTGATCGTCAAACTGAATAGGCTCCAAGGCATCGGCAATCTTGTGTCGCTCATATGTCTTGAGCGATCGCAAAATGGGAACTTCGGACAAGAACTGTTCATACATGCGACGTTTACGAGCGGTCGAGTCCATTAAAATCGATCGGAAAGTAATGCGATCGAGTGCCCAGAGTACACCATCAGATGTAGCGACAATGGTAGCTGCACGAGGCGCATTGTACATGAGTGCCAGTTCGCCAAAACTACCACCGGGACCATAACTAGTGACTTTGTTGGATGTCGAGTCGTGTTTTATAAAGCAGTCAAATGTGCCCGATTCGACAATATAGTAGAAATCACCCTCGGCGCCTTGTTCAATTAAGACTGTATCTTGGGACACACGCTTTTCTGCCATGGCATCAATGACATGTCCAGCTTGTTCGTCGTCGAGGCTTTTGAATAAAAAGTTGTTGGCAATGGCAGCATTTATGCGCTGTCTCTGATCTTCTGTCTTTGGATGAACAATGTACTCTTGTTTCGACACGCTGGACGGTTGGATCGATTCGGCACTCACGGATACTCGTCTAGACCGCATGGTTGGTACAGAAAGCATGGACGGCATGTCGTCGGGTACGATGTCACGAGCTTCCTCTTCGTGATCAGTCAAAGAATCGACTGGTTCGTCCGTGTTTAATGGATGTTGGGCTGTGGAAGTCATTGTTCGTTGTGGTGAAGGAGTTCTGCATAATATCCAAATGAGCGAGGTTATGCTAAGCAGGATTGATTTCACTTCTCACTCACTCTCTCAAACTTAAAAAGCTTACGTTTGTCGAATAGCTAATAGGATGTAAAATGGAGTGACAAGTAAAAAGTGAAGAAAAAGAAGAGAGCGGGTTGGATGTTTCACACGAAGTCAAGCTGCATGGATCGGAGAAAAACATCGTCATTCTGAAGGAAGCGGTGGCAATTGAGATGTGCTAATTTTTATTGACTTTGTTTCTGTCGGCTTTTTTTCTAAGTAACCGCAGAATTCTTTAGACCATTCTATAGCGGGAAGAAGTTAGTTCAATCAATCTGGAAATCTCACACAAGCAAACTTATAGTGAAAGGAGCGCGCTACTTACTCTGATAATTCAAACTTCTTGCCCTTAAGCACTCTATAGTTTAAGAAAGAGTGAGTAACTTGGCAAGATGATCGACTAAGAACAGGTAGTGGTCTCAGACTTACTTTGTGTAGTAAATGTAGAAAAAGTCGCTGTACAATGCAGTTTGTATCAATCCAGCTACCCAGGCGATCCAATCTACATGATTTTCCGTGCAGTAGCGGTACAACTTTCAAAGAAAGAAAAATGGATAAGAGCCATCAGTCACTGAGAAAACGTAGAATGAATTTCAATACCATACCCAGTTCGCCAGATAGAGAGCGCGATATGCACCCAATGCAAAAATATAGTGCGTAGTGATTGTTTCTGCTTCTCCTGTTTGCTGCAGCATGTACAATTGAGGCATGATGGCGACCGACTCAAGCCAAATTGAAAATGACCAAAGAACCTGTTTTTTTACTAGGCGTCAATACATCTTTAGCGCTATATGCCGTTGTTCTTCGTTATGTGAGAAGGATCGCTGCAGCATACTTCAACAGGAGTATAGTCATATGAAAACATCACGCCAAAGATCGCAGCACCGGCCACCAGAAACTCGTAGCGGAATGTATCCAATCCTGGATCGTACGAAGCTTTGTACTTGATTCGCATCAAGTACAGTATATAGACGGATGTCACGATGAAGAACAATTTCATGCAAGTGTTGTATACGGAAAAAAACTTCATAAAAAGATCGAGGTACCGCGTCAAGAATACGACCGTGTACAGTATCTGTGATTTGAACGATATGCCTTTTCGTAGTTGTCATCATTATTGTTGTTGTTGTTATTACCATCGTAGATTTTAACATCGCCAGCATATTAATAACGCAAGAATATGGTATATTTTGATGAGCACATTATAGCATACTAAAAGACTCTCATCGCATAATTATGCTAACACTCACCGACACATGATTGTGAGCTTTGTATTTTCAAAAGTAGGATGAGAATTGATGCTAGATGCATCAAGTCAGCCACCAAACGGAATATATTCATGTTCTTTTGTTTATGTGCTGTGTATTCTAGTCAATATCTTGTTTGATGAAAGAAGAAAACGGAAAAGAGAAAGAGAGTCAAAGAGAAAAGAATAGCCTAATTAAAGGAAAAAGGAGAGTTGGCAGCGCCTAATTGGTGGGCCATGATATATATATTCAATGTTAAAGAATAATAATTGGATGCAGGGGCTCTGTTTACAGCGTAATAATGGGAAGTAAGGGGCATCGAGTGGGGTGAAGGAACAGAGGTTGGTGCGCTAATCAACGATAAAAGGGTATCATATACAATTGTCTATATTTACAGATGTGGTCGGTGGTCTCGATGATGCTGATGATGATGTTAATAGAACGCTTAGAAAGAGGAAAAAATCATTCTATTGCCGTGCTAATCCAAGCAAGATGCTTCCGATTATAACAAAGCCTACAACCGCTGACGTTACTTTGACAATTTTGTGAGTGTACTGCTGTGGCTGCTGTAAGCGACCTGTTGATACCGGGTTCTGGTGACCACGCTGGAAAACAAGCGCCACAAGTTGACCCAACGCAAACTCTCCATCAAGTTGAAAAGCAGGCAGGATGTTTAAAAGCGCCAGCGCCAAAGTGAATGAAGAGATGTATCTGCAAAAGGTAATGTAGAGCGTAAGTTTCCCTTCTTTCCACGTACTCTCTGTTGATCATGATCCGAGCTTCACCTCAATAAGAGCTCAACCGTGTGAGGAACAAACACTGGCAGAAACCAAAAGCGAGGACGCAGAACACCCACTTTAACTAATAGGTTTAATTAAAAAGTAATTGTTAGCATATCCCTTTGCTATATCGGTCATCCTTTTCTCTATGGGCTGGTACATACCGCTTTCCCATATATCGACCAGCTCGCCTTCAAACACAAACACCTTATCCGAGTCCTGTCCATGATTATTCCATGCTGGAGCCTTAGTATACACGCGCACAATTTGTCCAGCAACGGACGGTGTATATGGAGTGACGCATTGTTCAGTTGCTGCGCATTCTGAATTCTTGACACAACGCTGTGAATCTCGTGATATCAGCACTTGGGTCAATGGAAGACAGGCAAAGTATTCAGGCTAATAGTAAAATAAGTTATCAGATCACCCTGACGTTCTTTACCGATAAATAAATTCCATTTTTCTTACCTCAGTAGCGGATAAAGGTGTCGTAAAGTCTCTGAAGCAAGACAGTGTCGAATTCGGAGAGCGTCCAAAAGGATATTCATCATCGATATCACAGCACTCGTTCACGATATTTGGATCATCAGATACGGCGGAGCAAAAGCCTTGTGCTGGCTCATGTCGCTGGTCTTGACCCAGTAGGTACTCGTTCCAATCCACAATATTATGTTCCAGAGGGAAGTCGTCAAGCTTGTATAGGATCGATGAAATGGGTAGATGGTATGCCAACGGAGAGTCAGGGCGCACGTTGACAACACTTACTCCGCCAGATCCCTCGAGTGATTGCCACCCCAACAATAAAAGAATCATTTTGAGTCCACCAGAAAGCATGATCAATGCCCACATGTAGAGTATGATATTGTGCCATACACCAGCACAGATGATTTTAAGTTGGCGGAACGGGGCAATCAAATGAAGTGCATGATCCGAAATGTTGACAAAAGCACCAGGATAAATGTAATAAACAAATATACCAGCACTTCGGATTGGTACGCGTTGACTACATGTAACGTATACAATTCTTAGCATTTAGCAGTAAACTGTCAGGAACAGAAAGAAATTGGAGCACCAATTACCAGTATGCTGCAATAGCATGTCCAGCTTCATGGAACACGCCACAGATAAGCAAAGCAAGCAGATAGTAACCGAGATGAGAAAGCGGAACTGTCACACCAGGAATCTATTCACGAACGAAACCATAAAGTTATCAGTAAACACACCCTTCCAAATACAATCCTTTTGTACTCGTTTGCTTTTGTTGTACCATTGGCAGAAATACTTGTTCATCGTCACCGCCACTTGAACTATCCTGTTCTTCAAGCGACCGTTTGCGAAACCGAGAAACATCTGTTGACGCCTTTACGGCTGTTGCTGTGGACGGTTGTAGCGCGTGCCAAAACACAGCAAGTATCTTGAGGGCTGCATAAGCGATAACAACCACGCCTGCCACCATGACCAGAACAGCTACGATCGTACCGATTGAAAACCAAATATTCCAAAACCGTGGTGCAGCTTCGGCGATCCGCCGAAATAAATTGTTACATTTCGCAGTTGTGTATTTCACTTGAAACAGCTTAATCATCCACTGATCCTTTTCGTTCGATTCACTATCACCATGACCTTCTTCATAGGTGGTGGTAGTAGGCAAGATCCCGCCATTATTACTGGTTGTCGTCCTTTGGTGGCCGGATTCCTTTTAGCGTGTCCCGGAATTGTCAGTAACACACTCTGTTTTTTGCTTCAGAGGTAGATCTCTGACAAGTGCTCAGAGGATATGTATGTATACCTTGGTTGCAATGTAAAACTTGGTCGCGAGAACGAAGACATAAATAATACCCCATAAACATATGAACTGAAAAGCCAGTGCTAGGGGATCCATGATATGATATATGCAAAGTGTATATGGAGGAACAGGAAGAAGGGAAGGACGTCTCAGTCAAGCTCCGGCTCTCTGTCTTCTCTTTGAAATATAATATTTGTTTATCAGATTATTCTCATGTATCTTTTTTCACACAAACGGATGTAGCAAAAGTATGTACTATTGCTGCTCACCTTCACTGTCACTCGCTTTAAGCTACTCCACAAGCTGAATAAAGTTATTTTCTACCATTATGCAAAGAACAAGAACCAAAGAAGTGGCCCGTTGATACACACCTACTGCTGCTGCTGCTGCTAAACTGTTGCCAGATATATGGGTAACGTGTCACCACAGCAACCCTAATTCACTGAGTGGATAAATACACTTTGGTATCACATGTGTTTTTGAAGCGACAAAAGAAAAGGAATCATACGGTTGTTATTGTTAGTAACTAACGATATCAGATCTAATATTTCATTCGTACAAGGTTTTTGCATTGAACAACGCACAGAGCATAAAAAAAGAATGCATGGGGTATATATCACTATGTTACAGTAGCTAGGTAGTGCTGCATCATCGCTCGGATCACGCTGCATGATGTATCTCTCAAGGACCGCCATGCCGTCAAAACCGCCAGCTAACTACATATTTGATTTCGGCTCTATTACAGCAAAGCAGGACTTGGTACAGTATTTCTTGTCACACAAGCGAACGGATTTGTGTACATGAGGTCCTGCTTTGCATATTCATATGCGTATGATGCCGTCTCTTTCTGAACCTACAGGAGCCTCCGACGGTTTTTCTAACGGTAGGAATCGGTCGATACTAGCTTAAAAACCTGTGCATTGTTTATATTATCCGTTTATTTGCTCTCAGAAAAAGGAAGAATGTGATCAAAGAGCTACTCGTAACCCTTTCTCACCCGTGCAACTCTGGGTTGGAGACCTTGACAATTGTTTTAACTCTTCACTTCCTCCTTCGATTTCCCTTCCCCTGGATGATATGCGCTGCGCCGTTTCGGAAGCCGAGTTGATTAATCCGCCGGCGGAGGCCAGTAACCGCCCAGTTGTTACACGAACAAGCTGATCATACCAAAGTGACGCGATAGGAAAGGCGTCGATTAATCCTAAGGGAAGAACGGATGAAAAGAACAGGTTCCTCGTTAACAAATATGAAAGCGACAGAAAAAAGGAAGCTACTATCTACTTGTTATGGTGATCAGAGCAATGGTAGCTACGTGCCTTGTGCTGTCCAGTGCTCTTCATGCCGTATAATTTTGATCAACTGCGGATTATCCTCAACCTCTTTAAATGATAGCGTAACTATAACGGGTAAATTGATCGTGACAAATGGAAGCACACGGGGGCACACCGTCTGGGTCAAGAACACTGTGCACGTTTGTTGTCCGTCAAAGCACACATTCGTGATCTTTGGCTCTGTTCGATTCAGCATTTTCCATACGAGCAACACTCTATGATAAATTGGGGTTTACACGACAATGTTTTTGTTGGTTTTCTCTCTGCTTGTTTCCGAACTTAGCAGCAACAATAATATTAATCGCCTCCTCTTCTTTTCCTTTAGCTTCATTTGTTTTACATACCGGCGTATGTTCTCAACACCTGAGGTTGATAAAATGGGAGATGAAAATTCAACATCCCCAAAATAGTAGTTTTTGAGGACCAAATTTTGATTCACAGTGTTAAATGAAAATAAGTTGGTGACGATGCCTAATAACGAGATACATTTAATCATTGATCTACATATGTCATTAAAAATGTGCATGGTGCCGCTATAAGCAGTATCATAGCATAAGTACGTACATGTTATAATCTCGTCAATATAATCGTTGTATATATCGATTTGTTGTTGATGATGCTGCTGCTGCTCTTGCGGGCCACATGGATCAACCGCCGTCGCTGTTGTATCGTCAATATTGTTATTGTTGTTGCTCGTGCTGCTGTTGTAGTAGCAATGTCCGTCGAATCCATCATCAGTGTTCATACAGTTTGCGTCGGTGTTCATCGTATTGCCTCAGCTCGACTCTTTCGTTTTCGTGAAGATAAAATAGTAGAAAATACCCGTTGATGATGAAGGGAAAGAAACGGACAAGAGGAAAAAGAAGGAGCAACAGAAGAAAAGAGAAAAGAGGGAATAAAGTTGGGTTAGCCGGAAAGTCAACAAAAAAGTAGACAATGTCGCACCAGAGGATCGGGACACGGGAAAGTGCGTTGTGCTGCAGTAGGCTTATGTCTGATACGCCATTATCTTTAATCACGCATAAAAATATGAAGAGTGGCATCGACCATACAGAACTGATGTACATAACAATAAGTACATAGAAAAACCTGAAGCAGGATGATCCTTAGTATCCTTTTAGCACAACTGCTTTGATCAGCACAACCGTCATCGTTTTCATCCAACATGTGAAGAAAGTAAGAAATGCACTGATAAATGATAAAGCATATTTACTGTTTATACTGTATAGCATACTGTACAAGGCCGAAATTCTTATTACAACCAAGGGTATGTGCTGACGTATGTACAGTATGGGTATGTATGATGTCATGTATGGGTGTGAAAGCAACAATGATTAGAAGAGATGAGGTCGCTTAGGTTTGGCGTCTTTTTTTGCTGCTTCTGCTACTACTACCAGTAGTAACTGCTATCGGCAAATACTTTGATATCTTTTTCTTGTTATGGCGTTGCTGCTGTACTGTTTCGTGCTGTGAGTTTGATGTCGAAGAAAGAAATGCTGGCGCTTGATAGCTGGTTTCCCCTGACACTGATGATTGTCGAGGTTCTAGTCGCTCGGTAGCGATTCTAGGAGGAGAGGCAGTAGCAGTGGAAGCCTACAAAAGGTAATGACGGCCAATGATAAGTATATGGGACCTATGGTGGATATAATGCTGCTCTGAGCGCAAAAGAACCTACCTCATGGCTCTCTCTTTTCCTTACTACTGTTGCACCGATGTGACCACTGAGCATCGTCTGCTTGTGTTGCCGCTCATCGGAGGAGGGTGAAGGACTCGCCAGCGGACTGCATGGATGCCTTGGCCGATTTATATCATCCTTGTCATAATAAGTGTTTCCTCGATCGGACGATAGAGTGTTTTCAGAACAAGACATGTTGAGCGAACCGTATCGCTCTCCTCCTCTTTTATTGCGTACTCCTTTATTTGCGATAAAGTTATCACCATTGTTGTTGCCCTTTGGCTTCTGGTCCATCATGCTATCACCAATTGCTCTACTAGTCGGCATACTCGATGACAGCGGCTGGTTGTGTAATGGTGAAGGCGCAGCAGAGTACATGTAGTCATATCTCGGTTGTTGAAAAATCTTGAGAGGATATGGTTTTTTGCTGACGCTTCGTCGTGGTGTTTTTATGGAGGAGGCTGTATCACGTGTAGCAGTAGATACAATGGGTAATGAAGAGTGCCTGGCTAGCTGCATTTGCTGAAGAGGGGATGAGGGAATAGGCATCGTCATCTTTACCGAGCTATCACCAGTAGTAGCAATACTGTCATTTGCCCCCTGGTGATACTTGATTTCACCGCGACCATATGTAGAGCCTTTATCACTCGCAGGAGGCAATAGTCGTTTCTGTTGCTGAGTTCCCGTTGGTACAGTGCGCGCGTTATCTTCATCTTCGGCTGCCAGAGCTCGCCCAAACGAAGCATAATTTGACATTCCATCCAAATCTTCTGGAGATCCGGTCACCTCATCCGTATAAAATAATGTATCGGGATCCTCGTTGTCATCCACAATCTGTAATTTCTCTATCAACACGTCACCACACAGGCTGATAAAGTACGCAGCTACTGCTATAGAAATGATGATGTACACCAGCCAGAATTCTTGCGCAAGCTGTGTTGAATTATATAAGAGAAGATTAGCGATTTTGCTGACCAAAATGTATAAACGTACAGATGAATACTAGCCTGCGCCTTTTTTACTTACTGCAGTTTGAGGTACAATATCACCAAATCCAATAGTCAACTGCGTAGCGAACGCAAAGTACAGTCCATCCAAGTAGGTCCAATCTTGTTCTAACAAACAAAATATGCCAGCTCCTCCAAACCAACAAATGATAAGAATAACACCCATCCGCACTACGCCTGACTTTGTGATTACTTGCACGAGTATTTGACGATCCTTATTATTCAATATCCCGGTCATAGTGTAATTGCTAAATGTTGACATGTTGGACAGCGATCGAGGACGAGCAGACCCTGCGGTGGTTCGTCGTCGAAGAAGAGGTTGTGTTACCTGGTCACCGTTGTCATCATCATCGTGATTCGACCTTAAAACGTCGTAGCCGTTGTCATTGAGTGCTGCTGTTGGGGTATCAGCACCTCCGCCTTCTCCTCCTAAAGGTGCTGTAGAGTATCTGCGAGAAACTGGCGCTGTGTGATCTGGATGTCTATTAAGCCATTTTTCACGTTGGTGCCGCGAGTAATCATGAAGGGATTCGACTCGCATCAAGTTGACCTTCATGATATCGGATGACGTCCCTGTGATCACTGCCCGAATCGATAAAAGCATATAGCCAACAATACTGATACCCAAAACAGTGTAGAACAAGAAAAAGACGCGCCCTTCTGGTCTAGACGGTGTGATATCGCCATATCCTTGAGTAATGAATCCATGTAAGCGATTAGAAGGTCAGCTTTCTTTATCCTTACATCCGAAAAGTTATACTTTACCAATTGTGGTGACAGCTGTCCAGCAAAATATCAAAGCTTCGCTATATGTCCAGTCCTCGAGACTCATATACACCAAAGCGCCAGTCATTATCAGGGAGCATACCATGATGCTTGGTAACACGAGACCCTTCAATACGATAGATAGTTTGGAATATGGAAACGACAGGAGCCAGTCAACAGTAAAACCGAGCGCCGCCAAGAAATTCAAGATACCTGCGCAAAGGCAGCTCCAATATCCTCTCGAAAAGACATAGTACGTGCAGTTGTTCATGGGTGCATAAGATCGGCGAGTGAAGGTATAAACAGCCGATAAAGCAAGCAATCCTATTGTGTTTATAAAGGAGTAAATAATTTACAAAACAATGCTTAACTCGGAGTCCTTTTTTCTTTTGACTATCATGCATATACTTACCTTGCAGATACGCCGGCCATAAGCACCACTTCGAGGCAAAATAGACACACATTCGCGTTCTTGCGATTAGTAATGTCCAAATCGCAAGTCCACAAACAATACTTGTGCATACGGCCAGTGTTTCCAGCATGTTGATTGTAATGACGGGATCCTTATCGAAATTGTGGCCTGTGCCATCCCATCGTGCATGATCAACCACCCAACCTTTGACAGCTATACACAAGCACACAATGATAAAAGCAACAATGAATATTGTAATGAAAAAGTCTATGGTAGTTTTATTATGATATGTGCTACTACCTGCTGCACGAACAAGTATAAAATTGCCGTATATCGAAGCAAACGTGGCAATACAGAAGGGTACCTCGGCAATACGATGCGCTCGCAAAGCTGTGTGTCGTTCCCGTTGCAGTCTCGACTTTGTGTCTTGAAACCATGTGGTGAAACGGGTACAAATGGAGATAACAGTGCTGGTGATGCCTTCCCATAAGGATGCTTCTTCCTCCCCTTCATCTTCTTCTTCCTGGTCCCAGTGCCAACGATCATGACTGAAAGCTGTGCGCATAGGCGGTCGTTGTGGAAAGGCGAAGTGAATAGCAGGTTGAGCGTCTCGGCTGTTGTTCCCGGATGACACGATCACCTCATCTGTAGAAGAATATCCTGATGTGGATAGTGCGGGAGAAGAGTTGAGAGAGGAAGCATCATCATAATAAACGTCGTCGCTCCGAGATACGTTAGTAGTGCTGTCATCAATTTGATGGTCGACCGGTTGATGCATTGACAGGCAGTAGAAAAAGGCAAAGATAGCGTCTTGACAATATAATATTAGACGGAGAAAAGGAAGAGAAAACGTAAAACAAGGGTTGATGGAGGTGAGGGGGGGATTGAAAGAAAAAGGCTAATCTGGATTTATTTTTGATCATGAAAGTAAGAAGCGCGTCGACGCGTTAATGACAATGATAATTGCGCGTTTTTTGCCAGAGGACAATAATCGAATCCGACAACAGGCTGTTGTGCTCACACTTTTCTTCTCATTACTTTCAGTGTACACCACAGAACCGGGTTAGGATGCTGCTGTTGCATTATAATTCTTATTTTTAACCTTTCTCTTATGACTCTAGTCCCCTGCTTTATAGTGTTCCCTCGTCAAAGTTATTTCTTGCTCCTTTTCGGACATCGCTAGATCCGCCAAGCATGATGATCGCCTGCGATTCTTGTACCACCTCTAAAAAATTTGCTCAAAAACTTGGTAATGGACTTTCTAAACAGTTAGAAAACGCATAGGCTGATAGCGACCACAGACTTTTGGTCTCACTTTGTTCGTATAAGTGAACGTGGCCGCTGTCAATAGCATAGCGTACAATGAATAATATGTTTTAAATGTTTACACTGCGTTGGAGTCACTATGTGATCCTCGCCATCTAGCTGTGGGTACCTGCAAATAGCAGGTCGACAAATCTGTTAAAGAGCTACTTTTGACTTTAGAGCTTGATAGTCAGAGACAGTAGCATCGACAGTGAGCATTACCTAGTCCAACAGCTGAACCGCTAAGCCTTAGTTTGGACCAATATTGAGGAGTTGCGCGACAAAACCTTCTCATAGTGGAAGGATAGCGGCGCTTCATGGTACAATAGAATGTTTTTACGCCTGCCATATGAAGACTTAACTATCATCAACATTGAATATTAAACCTCCAATAACTCCCTCTTAGTCACTATGATTCTTATCCGTAACTAGTCAGGTGCTTCTTCCTGGTCGTCTCGTGTCTGCCAATTGATCATGATGATACGGTATAAATTTTGGTAAATGAGAAACGCTAGTAAATTGACAAATAAATGCTATCACTCTATACCGTAATAATAAAGGATATCATATGTACCTACAGTATGCATCAGCCGCATCGTAATATGAAAAGCGAAAAAATCATCCGGTGATACAACATGCTATGCATTCATCAATTAAGCTTTCAAACAAGTACGTATATACAACCTAAATCGGCTTCGAACGCTGTAGTATGATTGTATATTTGACCACTGGCCTAGTATTAATTGTCGCGTTTCCCGTAGCTAAAAACGTCGCTTCTTTATTTTAGTTCCATTGTTGAAGTTGCGGATGGAATGGATATACGATTGGATAGTATGTATGTCAGTTTGCATCTGATGCGTATCCGTTAACGTCAAAATTTCAGACCCGAGAACAGATTGGATACTCGAATAGAAAAACCTAAGTATACCTGTTCCAGTATATAACTTCCCGATTACCGCACAGCAAGGAAGCGGCAAGAATGCGATCAGCGAACCTTCATCAATCTCCTAGATATAAAAATATTACTTTTCTAAATTATTGTCTTATTATTGCATATAATCATCTTTTTATTTATATAATATGGTAATGTGTTTGATTCAACAGAACTTATAGGTTTTGCTGACTAGTATTGATAATACCACCTCTTACTAGTATCAATAGAACTATCTTTTTTTCTTGTGAGTAAGCCTTTCAAACTTGTACTTTGAAACTGAAGTTTAAATTAGCTATCTGCAGTGTTGTTCAAAACAAGGAGCTTAAACATCGAAGTATTTGTTTTTCAATCTTATGCTGTTGCCATCATGCTACAGGTCTCTGTAACTTAGTAAGTAATTGATGACATTTTGGGTTCAATTCTGTTTCTGACAACAAACATAAGGCACCGATCAAATCTTCGTCGTGCATTTGTATACATGATTGATTATCTAAATACTATAAAATGTATAATTTGACAGAAAAAACAGTGATAGTTAGTTTGTGGATATGGTGGGTTATCTGTTTGATGTAGTGGTGGCAACAGCATTGAATCGGAGACTGGAACTGGCCGGTGACCGCGGGCTTGGGTGGCAAATCCGGCTATATTGGCGAAAGAAAGTGAACTCATAGATCCTCCTTTTCGAATCTAACATGGTACGTAAAAGGGACCCATCCATCCAACCGATCATCATGACGATAGCGTATCCATCCATCGACAAACACACGACACGATATCCATTGAGCAAAAGAGAAAAAGACTGAAGTTATTTTTTTGACGAAGCAACATATCCAACCTATTTCAACCCTATCTTTTGCTCAACAACGGTGGATGCGCTATCAAAATTTAAAAAACCCAGGAAATGCTCACATTTTCACGAATTTATATAGACCTGCAAGAGAAGAAACAACGGACGCAACAAGCACGGTCGCGGCCACAACAAGTTCGTTCGCTGCATTAACTGCTCCCGCTGTGTCCCCAAGGTAAATTCACTTTCGACATTTGGAAGACAATTGCAGGAAACAATTCATGTGCTCGAGGAGAAAAGCATCTGTAACCAAACTTTGTGCTTTTCAAATATCATAGGACAAGGCTATCAAGCGCTTCAACGTCCGTAACATGGTCGAAGCTGCTGCCGTCCGTGATCTTCAGGAGGCTTCCGTCTATGAGGGTAAGAATTGATTCTTTTTTTTGTGTGTAGTCAGGCGTATTTTATCCTTCACTAACATTTTGTTATTATCAATTTTTGCAGAATACGCCATTCCCAAGTTGTATGTGAAGCTCCACTACTGCGTCTCGTGCGCCATTCACGCCAGAGTTGTCCGTGTCCGCTCGGTTGTTAACCGTCGTATCCGTACTCCTCCCCCAAGATTCCGTTTCGCCAAGGTAATTGACAGAACCAACTATTGAAAAAATTATTCGTAGGGAAATACAAATTGACTTGATAACTGACTCTTTCTGTAATATGCATTCATTTTGGAAACGTGTAGAAGGCCTAAATATCTTGGAATGTGTGAACGTTCTTGTGGTCCGTCTCTTTTGACGAATGTTACTTTTTGTTGGAAAACAAATAAATTCCATAAAAAACACTAAATTGGAGTACTTGTTATCATGATAAATGTTGTTGATTGGAGAAGACTATAGTGAGGGAAGTGAAGATGAATGTTGATGTGTAGGGAGGTGGGTAAGTTAGGCGAGTGTGTGCGTGTGTGTAAAGAAGTCCATCGAATAGGCGTGTCCATACCTATACATGTTCCCTGACAGATGAGTAGTACGGGGTTGTTTTGTGAGGGCGCATATTGTAGAAGCATCTGCGTGAGTAGGAGACCGAAATTGCCTTTTGTATTATACATGAGTAAAGTGAGCGTGCGACCTCACCGCCATGTTGATTGTCATTTTCGCATAAAGATCCCTAAATTTCGCTACAGTCGATAACATCCGAAAAGCTCACTATGTATTACCCGCGTGTATACGCATCAGGTACACCAGTACTTTAGTTGAGTCAATATGCATGTTGAGATCAGCTGCTATCCATGATCAAGTATACACACATTAGCAAAAACAAAATCCTGTGTTGGTCAATATGTGTAATGAACAGATCAAGAACCCGCTTTTCCTTTGTAGTACAGATACACAAACTCTCTTACACACTGTTACTGGTGTACGTAGCGGTAAGTAATATAAGAATTGACGGCACTGTTTACTGCAATGTATTTTGTGCAGGATAAACAATTCCTCCAATGACTTTGATACAATGGCATGGAAACTAGCAAATCAACGGTAACTGTACCGTACTGCCAGCAACAAACGTTATCTGATAATCGTCGTTAAGCCGCCGGCAATAAGTGAGATCAGTCGGAGCCAATCTCACCCTACTTGTGCACCCACGTCTCCAAACCCCACCCCCACCCCCACTACCACTGACCCACCAGCTCACCCACAACCTCTCACACGCACACATAAATTTTTTCCCCTCTATCGTGCATAATAACTGCCTTTCTCTCCAACTCTCACATTACTCAAAAAAAAAGTCTACTACTCTGGGAGAAAATGAACGATCCGCGTCACTTTGATTCGCGGTACCGAGGCCCTGAGGCTCTAGAAACACCAAAATTGATTCGCAGTATCACGGTCGATCGTTGTAGCAACTTTACTAGCGGTGGTGCAAATGGGAACGACATTAATCTGTTGTCACAGTTATACAAAGCGCGAACAAATTCGGGTACGAGCGACACAATCAATTTTATATTTTATAAGGGCCACACACACATACACATTCACTCTCGACCCACCTCATGTTGCTTCCTGTTCCTCCCTTCATTAGCAACGCGTATACTCTCTTCAAATTAAGATCTAGTAATAACCTCTCTGCTTCCATATGGTTGGCTTGTTTCCTACTCTTTTTTTAGAGGAGTTCATTTCGTTGCTAGTTTACAGTGTTCCTGATCTTCGACGGATCCCGTTTGACGAAGCAGTCCAGCAGGAGTTCCGACCAACGCGACTGGGTGAATGGTTCGGCCCATCGTGGGTAAGATGTCATGTGACAAGCTTATATTTGTGATTGGTGATACATACAATACCTAATATGCGTGATCTACTAAACACGTTCATATATCACCTGTGGAAAAAAGTCTACGCATTGGTTTCATGTTCAACTCCGTATTCCGAACGAATTCGCGGGTGAAGAAGTTCATTTCATTTGGAATGCTGACAACGAAGCTCTGATATGGAGTATCGATGGACTACCATTACAAGGTCTTACAGGAGGAGGTATGTAAACGGAGAAGTGAATGTATCTTGCTCTTGTCAACATTTTATAAAGTAACAAAAGAGAGTGACTCTGAAGTCAATGGATCCCAATTGGTCGGGGTAGAAAAAAATGACAACTAACGTGCTTCTTTGTGGTATGATTAGCGGGCAGTGATGCACGACACGAGTATATCCTTACAACAAATGCACAAGGAGGAGAGATAATCCAATTCTATATTGAAATGGCATGTAATGGCATGTTTGGCGCCGGGAACGGTTTAATTGGTCCACCGGACCCAAACCGGTTCTTCAACCTAAATGAATTGGTATGTAGCCTGATTAATTATTAACAGTCAAGGGAACCTTGTTGTTGTTATTACGTGTTTATTGGGACTTTTGTGGAGACAAGCAGCAACATGCGCTGACTAAACATTATGTCAGGATCTTGCTGTGCCAAACCGACGTGCGTGGGATCTACTGTATGACTTCCAAATCATTCTTGGTATGGCGAGAGATCTTCCGCCGGATTCACTCAGGGCTGCACAAGCGTTGTACACGGCAAACAAAATTGTAAACACTTTCCATCCTGGGAGCGACGAGAGCATTGAAGAATGTCTGCGGATTGCAAGCAAGTTTCTGAGTGCCAAGAATGGCGATTCTCAACATGACATTATTGCGCTAGGCCATTGTCACATTGGTATGGAAGTTTGGGAAACATAAACTTAGATTAATGGAGGTTTCTTTTTTTGAGTGTGGGGTGGGCAAGGGAAACATCTATTTTCGTATATGGAATGTTGAGGATGATGATGGTTAGTGGTGACAAAAAGAAAGAAAGGAAAAAGATGCCAACCTTTTTTGAACTGACCTAGTGATTATTATTAGATACTGGATGGCTTTGGCCGTTTGAGGAGACAATCCGTAAAGCTGCAAGAAGCTGGTCTTCTCAGATAGATCTGATGGATCGTTACCCAGAGTACAAGTTTATTTGTTCCCAGGCACAGCAATACGAATGGGTCAAGGACAATTATCCCCCGCTGTGGGATCGCATTAAGGAAAAGATTTCAATGGGTCAGTTTATGCCCACGGGTGGGGTAAGTTGCTTTTTCAAAGTCATACGTTTATTGATCCTATCGATAGGGGGATTTACTAACTATGTGGTGACGATTCATAGACTTGGATTGAGATGGATACTAATATGCCAAGTGGAGAATCACTTTGCCGTCAGTTCTTACTCGGGTAAAGTTTATTGGCAATAAGGTGATAATACAGGGACCTAATATAGAAGCTGATGCCATACTTTGGTATTTCTCTTTTTCGAATAAGTCAACGGTTTTATGAAGAACATTTCGGCAAACGATGCAAGATATTTTGGCTTCCAGACTCGTTTGGTTATGCATCACAGGTAACTCAATAGACACTTCCTGTACTATACTGTTTCATGGCAATGGTGCTCAATTGCATTTTACCTACTTTTCTATAATAGCTTCCACAATTGATGCATCTTGCCGATATGAAGTACTTTTTCACTCAGAAGCTTTCGTGGAACAATGTTAACAAAGTAAGTGTAACATATGTAGTCGAAGTGGGAATACAAGTTTGTGACACCCCATTGGCCAAATTATAGTTCCCATTTACTACGTTTTGGTGGGTCGGTTTGGATGGCACCAAGGCACTTACACATATGGCGCCGTCGGAAACCTATAATGCCCAATGTACTCCCGAGGAACTTATTCGAACGTAAGTCTGGAGAAAAAGCGGGAAGGTGGAAGGGAGATAAAATCAGGATAAAAGACTTTCGAGGACAGCCAAAAAAGGGATTCTGGAAATGTAAAATGTCAATTCTCACACTCCTGTACATATAGAGTCCGCAACCATCGCGACAAAGAATATTCTAATACCAGTCTGTTGGTTTATGGCAATGGAGACGGAGGAGGAGGACCACTGGCAAGCATGATTGAGCGGCTGAGAAGAATGAAGAATGTCGTAAGTGTTGATGTGCAAAGAGAAGAATATAAGGATAGGAAGAAGGTGGGCTGAATGTGCTTGTGCGGCGTGTGGGGGAGTATCGTAACACACTGTTGCTATTTAATTTAACTCTATGTGCGACTTTAATGAAAGGACGGATTACCCAAAGTCGAAATGGGGGCTCCAAGCGACTTTTATGAAAAACTTGAAAGAGAAACACCGGTATTGGCAACTTGGACTGGTGAAATGGTAATTATCAACTAAGCGACCTTGTACATGTGACGATCTTAACCTTATCTTTGTGCACAGTATTTTGAGCTGCATCGAGGTATCTTCACCACCCATGCGCTTTGCAAGAAGTTTAATCGTAGCTGCGAGCTGTTACTGCGTGATGTTGAAATCCTGGCTACTATGGCACATATAGTCGATACTGAAAACTTTGAGTAAGTGCTTACTGTAAAACGTGTCTGATATCCCTAGCCTACAAGTGCTGCCTAACCTGTGTTAATTGATTGAAATACCCTTTTCACATCAGATACCCAAAGGCAGAACTTGATCAATTTTGGAAGATGATTGGATTGATCCAATTCCATGATGTTATGTCTGGTTCTGCGATCGAGATGGTCTATGATGATTGTCTACAGGTGAGCACGTGTATGAGTATGATTAAGGAGTGAAGTAGTACTTGGATTCTGGAACGATAGCTTGTCTCCTTCCTTTTCATGCTGATATCCTCTACTTTTTTCGTTCTAGATGTACGCTAAAGTTGATATGCTTGCCAAACAAACACGTGGAGTTCTCATTGAAAAGCTTCTTGATTTGGATGGCACATCAATTCCTGAAGGAAAACAAGGTAAAGTCACTGAATATAGAGCGATATTTTGCATGATGATGTAATAGTACATCACAGAGTGACACAGACGATGTTATCTTTTAATTATTTAGCACTTGCCGTGTTGAATACATTGGCATGGCCTCGACGCGAAGTAATAGAAGTCCCACTAGATGAACGGTTACCCACCATGAGACAGTACTCGGCATTTGGTCGAACAGGTTATGCTCTAGGTTAGTATATGCAGTTACCAAGGTTTCACAAAAGGAATGTTGTTCATGTAATACCATGCAGCGGTTGCTAACGACGTTTATGTTTATCAAACTTCAAGTGGAAAATGTACCGCCTCTTGGCGTGAAGGGCTTTAATTTTGTTGAAGAACCCGACTATGAACCTGTCAAAGTCTCGACCGATAGAAACAACAATATCGTGATGGAGAACATATACATTCGCGCCACCTTTGATAAGTCAGGTCATCTTATTGGTTTAACTGATAAAAAGTTAGAGTATGTATTCTCTTTCGCTTTTGCTGGCTTTTCTATTTATGTTTATAGCAGCTCCTCAGTATATTAAACAGACGTCTTTATTTTACTTAGTCGACCACTGATAAGACCAGATGAGCGCGGTAATGTGTTCAGGATGTACGAAGATATAGTAAGTAAATAGAAGAATACGAAGTCGAATGAAGAACAGGCTAAGAACAAATGTTTCACTGCTAATACCCTATTAATGTCGTAATGTATTACTCTGTAGCCTTTATTCTGGGATGGTAAGTATTATATATGCAAGTGTAATATATAATCATATCTTACAAATGTTGTTTCAATTTTTTCTTTTTTTGGTTAGCATGGGATGGTAAGTCTTCTAATAGCAATAACTATGAGGTCACTATGAGTAAGCTAATATATTGTTACTGTTGTTGTTTTTTCTATAGTGGAAATATATCACTTGGAGAAGAGTAGAGTTGTTGAGGAAGGTTCAGTGCAGCTGTTGGAGCAGGGTCCTTTACGAGCTGCACTTTTGGTTGAGAAGCGAATCTCGGATACTAGCCGTTTACGGCAAATTGTGGTAATGACAGCAATATCGCGTCGTATCGATTTCGAAACAGAAGTGGATTGGAACGAAAATAGACAGTTCCTGGTAAGTTTCATTATATATAATAACGTTGGTGAACGCGTTGTATGAAGTAAACTGATTATCTCTATATATCATTGTTGTAATTTATACAGAAAGTTGAATTTGCATGGGACATTATGGCGGACAAGGTATAGAACAAACAAGAGAAGAGAAAAGTTGGATGAGGCATGTTTAGCAATACAAAGCATACATACTAAAAATTATGTCTCAACTACACTGTTTATACCAGGTTACCTATGAAACACAGTATGGCACGGTCCAAAGACCTACCCATTATAATACATCATGGGATAGTGCAAAATTTGAAGTGGCTGGCCACAAGTTTGCAGATATCTCGGAATACGGATATGGTGTAGCATTACTTAATGACTGCAAGTACGGCTATGCCGCTCATAAAAATGTTGTTCGACTTTCTCTTATCCGATCACCCAAGGTACATTATTTCCCAGATTGATACACATACAATGCTATCATATAAACGACATACACACATAATTTTCTCTCATTTGATTTGTATTTAACCATCACACTAATAATTTTATTATGATTGCATTAGGCACCGGACTCCAACTGCGATATAGGCAAGTAGCTTTCACACAGTATGCAGCATAAGAATATGTATACTGATTTGGTGGTAAAATAATAGGGCATCACGTTTTCAAATATGCTATATACCCTCACGAGGGACACTTTATGCAATCAGACGTTGTGCGCGAAGGCTATAATTTCAACGTACCTCTTTTAACCAAGTAAGCAATGGGATATTAATCTGCAGTACATACATCTTTTTTCGTCATTCAAGGCGAAAAATACTGACTTTACAATATTGTCTTATCTAATAGAGTAATTCCCCAGACGAAGACGAACTCTGTATCTAATGCACTTCCCAAATTCCGCCTTGAAGAAGCACCCAACGTAGTAATGGATGTGCTGAAAAGAGCAGAAGATAGCAACGACATCATAATTCGACTATATGAAGCATATGGTGGCCATGCCCGGGCTCGTTTGATGTGGTAAGACAACAAAAACATTAAGCATATGAAGAAAAAGGGTTGATGGATCGTTATAGCATAGAAGTAAGGATAGCACTTATTAATGCAACTTATCATATTTTAGCTCTTTGCCAATGAAGTCTGTCTCTCGGTGCAACATCTTGGAGGATGAAATGGAATCAATACAAATCACAACGCAACCAGGTTCAGCAGTAGACAGAACGTTCAGCACCAACTTGCGTGTTTTGGATGATGATATTGTTGAACTGCACCAGCAAAATGAAGTGCGTCGACAAGCAGAAGGAATTCTGTTGAACGTCGGGCCTTTCCAGGTTGTCACCTTGAAGATTACCTTGTAATAAAAAATAACCGAGTATAATATAATATTGCCTGAAAGCTTAATAAAAAACCAAACCTGAGTTTGCAAAATACATGTGTCGAAACTTGCTCTATGATAAAAGCTTAATGACACTTTATCAAAGATAAAGATACGGGGCTGCGTAACTCATAATTGCATGCTCAACCTATATGTACGTCCATAATTTTTTCTTTTTTCGCTATGCGTGTCTTTGCATCCTTGGCGAGCTGGACAACATGATGTTAGGATGTTACTGCTGTCACCAGGATACCCAGCGTCTCTTTTGGACTGTGTTTAAAAAAAATTATCGCAGCGGGGAGCCGGGGTGGCACGTCATCGCGCCAGGGTAATTGGCTTGTGTTAAAAAATTTGAGCACCTCTTTATTCAACCAACCTCGTTGTCTAACATAAATTTAAGCCATGGCATCCCTCCGCGCCGCCGCTAAGCAAATTGACTGGTCCAAGTTGAGCAGCAGCCTTCCCCAGGAAACCGTCGTCTCGCTTCAGGCTTTCCGCAAGCGCAACGACGAGGCCAAGCGCCTTTTGAACGAATTGAAGGAGCAATCCACCACCGTCGATTTCGCTCATTACCGCAAGGTGCTCAAGAACCAGGGCATTGTTGACCAGGCCGAGAAGGCCGTCCAAGGTTTCAAGCCTGTTGCCTACAACTTGGACGCCCAGCTCAAGGCCATTGACCAATTCGAGTCTAAGGCTGTAAGTTTATTTTAATTTTGTGGAGTAGCAATGAAGGGGTGTTTCTAGTCCTGAAAAACTTATGGTAAAAAAAACTTCTTGCCATGAACAACAAAAACTGACATTTGTGTTTGTAATAGGTCGAGCGTGCCACCACCACTGTCCAGAAGATCGATGCCGAGCTTAAGGATCTCCAGGCCACCCTCGGCAACATTGAGGGTTCGCGACCTATCGAACAGTTGACTGTATGTTTTCTCTCTTTCTATCCCTTCTTCGGGAATGACGAGGATTGAGGATAATATATGTAATAGTGGATATGTGGAATGGAATATGGGCTAACCGGGTCATCGTTTATAGGTTGACGATATCATCATCGCCAAGCCCGAGATCACCAAGGACATCGAGGCCAAGCTCCAGAAGGGCCAGTACTCCGTCCCCGGCTACAAGGAACGCTTCGGCGACATGTCGTACTTCTAAGCGTCTTTTGCAGAAACAAAAAAACATTTATATACACAGAAATTTATAAACTGTTTGTACAGCCAAAAAAAACAACACAATTATACTTTTACACGCAATCTTATGCACACGCTACGCACATACACATACGCATATCACGAGTTCTTTTTGTCTTTACGTGTTTCTTTTGAATTAAGTTGATGGCATCTTCTGTTTATTGCTTGACGTATTTGGAGTGAATAGGGGTTGATGTAGGGAGGATGGAATGCGTTGTCTTGGTTTACATGTTTCGTGGTCCCTGAAGGATATCTCTTAAATTGCTTTGGGCATCAGTTGCTGCACGATCCCAGTATTTTTGCGATTTCTCAAGTTGTTGAATTTTCTCGTCAGAATCTTTAATGCGATTGACGTATTGATCCTTCATTTCGCCCAAAGGCGTTTGCACAAACCTAGAGTAGTGTAAGAGAAAGAGTCAGAAAGGTGTAATAACACTAACGGCCCATGCGCTACAATTCCACCAACCCCACCAATACCCAATAGGCGTGATAATGCCTGGTGTACGTATATGGGAAAACAATTCTCGAGCCAGTTAAAACTCTGTTCCTTACATTTTACCAACAGGCTTGTATGTCTTGGTATCAGCATCCAACGTATCAAGTTCGCGTCGCGTCAGCTCTGCCATCTTGCGATCTCGTTGTCTCGCTTGGATCTGCGCTTTAACCGTGTTCAATTGTTGAGTGCTTGCCACGTACTTTGCTTGCAATTCGACAAACACCTATATTAAAGCAAATTTTAAAGTGTCAATACCTCATACAATCTTTGCGATCGCAAAGTACAAAAGTCATACCTTTCGGATGGCATCATCTGACAAGGCCGACATTTTATATTTTTTCAAAAGGTATATTCCAACAACAGTTAAGCCTACTCGAATTTAGGACGGGGAGATTAAAATAAGTGCCTCAGCACAGGCACTGCACATACATCAAATTTTCGATCCACAACAGCATCACCTGTTACTGTGTTGGTCATTGAACTGAAAATCTAAAGCCAGTATCTTTTACTGTTAGTATTCATATTAGGATGTAACTTCGCTCAAATTATTCAAATACTTTTTTTTGTGGTTTGGATAGTATAGGCAAGGAAAATAGGGAGTGACATTGTAGTCAAAGACGAAAATTTCAATCGACAAATATACTGCTATCCAGGCTTTTAACCGCTCTATGTGCATGTAATTGCTACCTTGACAACAGTATTTATATAGCAACGATGTCTAGACATGTGTTTTGTTGTCGTTTTTAGTAGAATTTAAAACACCAAGAAAAATATACATGTGTAGCACGTTACAGCAAGAAGTACTAAGAGAAACGAGCGGAAAGAACACGTTTGACATATCTCAGAATGTGCGAATACGATCTGGCATAATGAAATGCTATCACGACTATACTATAGCACAGTACTTTATGCACGTAAAAAAATAAAGACACCATTCAATAGAGGATTCAGTATTGTTTCTCGTTGTACAGTATGTTGTACGATTAGCACAATATATCTGCATTGGGAAGAATCAACTTTGAATAGCCTTCAACTTTCTCAGCAATACTTTTGATATCACTACTGCTGTGGATTGTTGTCGCTGCTTAAGTTTAAGTTATTTCGCTTGTAAGGCTTGCAGAGAGACTGCATTGATTGTTTTTGCATATCTTTCGTATGTATAGCAGATTATATGCATAGCCAGAGATTTTGTTGTCAACATGCGTCTACATTTGGAAATGATAAAGTAACCATTTATCTTTTCAGAGCACAGCTCTCATTTTTATTGGAATCGTTTCGTAGTGTTTCATACTGATGATGTAGTGGGAGTAAATTATAGCAATCAGGAAGGCAGTGGTGAGATGCGCATGCTGTACAGCTCCATCTTTACAATTTATATTCTGCACGACCTTTTAGTCTAATAACTCTACATTATATCACATGTCAAGTAATAATTGTTATGCCCTTCAATCACCCTCTTTAATCCTTCCTAACAAGTCGCCAAGGTTTCAAATAGGAAATAATCAAATTAAATACAGCAACCATAAAATCCATGAATTCCTACGATTGTAAGAGTACAAGGTTTGAAGAACCAAAAGTGACATGCAAATGACGACAATCTAAGTTTTTAGGCAGCGAAGTATATTACAATACAGGACTTCGCGCGATCATGCGTTTTCTGTATGCACATTTACACCAACATATACGGTCGTTCTTGTTTTCTTTTTCATTTTTTTTCTCTTTCTTCAGTATCTACTTGCTTATTGTCGCCAGTTAAATATACACAGAGATATTTATTGCAGTACTCATCTCTCTTTATTTTCCAAGTGACCTTGAATTACCATATTCGCAAAAGCTAGTATACGCAGATGGCTCCACTCGAAGTTATTGGAGCCGGCATGAGCCGATGCGGCACTGACAGTTTAAGAGCAGCTCTGAACATTTTGGGGTAATATGTACCATACACTGCACAAACAAGGTACAATATCACTAACACTAACCATCAGGGTGCAATATTTCAAATTCTAATAGATACAACACACACCACATGTTTGAGTTATACAGTGGTCCCCCGCTTTTTGCAGCAGCGGTTTTTGGTGGAAAAAACTGCAAAAAGTGGGGAACTGCAAAAAGTGAGGATGAGTATGAGATGTTACACAGACTGAGTCTATTATGTTAATCAAGTGTCATTGATAGTAAACCAATTAAAAGATATCGGTGTTGTACTGAGGCAAGTCTTATATAAAAGGCTGTCGTCTAATTCTTGATGTTTATATACTGCACTATCGACACCTCCACACCACTATGGTAAAAGCAAAATACCCAAAGCTTACTGACGAGCAAAAGGACGCTATCTATCAACATTACATGTAGATGTCACTGGTTCAAGACTCTGTGTCCCAGGCTCTCGAGTTAATAGCGGAAAATTGCAGGTCCCCATTTTTGGCCTGCAAAATGCAAAAAGTGAGGAAACTGCAATTTTACTAAGTGATGAGCGGGTATACTCCAAAAAAATCTGCAAAAATTGAGGATCTGCAAAAAGTGGGGCTGCAAAAAGCGGGGGACCACTGTACAAAAACGATGAGCTCACTGAAGTCTTTGAAGAAGCATATAAACATCCCGAAAAACATGTGGACTGGGATATAGTTTATAACGGATATAACGCAGCGGTAGACTGGTACATTGATCTTATTCTTCTATTCTTTTTTAAAAATAGTTTTCGTAACGATACATGTACTAGCGAAAAGAAACCTTTAAAAAAGGTCATGAAAAAAGCTAATATTATATTTTAGTCCGACCATTTCCTTTCTACCCAGGTTGTTCGAGAAATACCCTGACGCCAAAGTGATCCTTACCAAACGGGACTCTGAAAGCTGGTACAAATCCGTCTATAACACAATCTATCGCATTTATGAATTGCCCCCGGAGAATCCTGAAGAATTTGAAGAGAACGTGGCGAACATGGTCAAGGCTATCTGGTTAGATGGTTCTTTTCAAGACTTGCAAAAATTCAAGGATGATCCAAAAACCATCAAAAAGCGTTACGAGGCACACAATGCATGGATGATTAAAAATATTCCAGCCAATCGGTTGCTGGTGCTAGATTTACGGGACGGTATCGATTGGGACAAGATTTGTCCATTCCTTGGCAAGCCCGAACCGGCAGTGCCTTATCCTCATGTCAACACTACCGCTTCCTTTAACGAAAAACATAAAGTAATTGATTCTTCAACCGCCTAAAATGAACAAGTGCAAAAAGCTTCAGGTGATTTGGTTTCTGTTCCATTAATAATTCCGAAACTGTTGCAATATGTATTGTTGGAGTAATAAGGCTCTTCAGTCTAGTCGATGTAATATGCCATGTTTATTTAAGAAGGTTAATAAAGACATTGGAAACATGTATGCAGTTATAAAAAATTAAACCGATAGGTATCATTTTGAATAAAGCCGAAATGCTCCTATCATAATTCTCAAGAGCACCGATGGTCTTCTGTTAGAGATATGTAATTTACAATGCCATCCATGAGTCGTTTTACATGAAAAGAATAGCTTACAAACAGCAGTGGCTGGGTACAATATCAGAAGCATAACATACATTAATATTAGTAGGAAGTACAGTACTATACAGGTGACACAACATGCATCTGCATTTATGTTTATGCGACGACATATAGAGTCACTATCATTAACCTGTTGTGTACGTACACATAAATGGCATCTAGAAGCACTCACTATAAAGCACCATAATTGTATGTAGCATATCAAAATAAAAAGTCATACGTAGTAGTAGTATAGTATATTTAATGTATATATGTTTGTTTCCTTGAAGAAGATGCTAATGTATAAGAAAGTCTTTTATATTTACAATATATTCTTTTGTGCCTAATGCTGCTGCTTCAACAAATAATTATACACATCTTGAGCAACATATTGATGGATTCGGTATGTCGGATGGAGGTCATTATACCAGAAGTATCTACTCAGATAGAAATAATTTACATGTTGAGTGTCGTTTCTATGTGATGGTGGTATGTTGAGATATATCTTGCTATATGTAGTGTATAGCAAACAAATACTTACTGCTCAAACGAGGCACAATGGTTTTGGATAGGGTTACTCCTGCATTTCAAGGGGGAGGAAGGATTAATTATTAATTATTTTTTGAAAGCCATGTTTTGGTGGTTACTTCCTTCTATCATACCAACAAAACTTACCAATCCGGACAGTAATCTGTAACATCGCTAAGCCCATAGTCTCCGGGATGGTCTAGAATATGGGTAAAAGTAGACCATGCATCAAATAGATAGAAGTGACCCGGAGTTTTGCTGCGTAAACGTTTGACAAGCGACGCCAACTTCTTGTTATAAGCTATATAATCATATTAAAATATGTGCAATGTTGTATGTAGCTTCGGCGAAGTATTATATCATACATAAAACGCACACACACACACCAGCTCATGTGGTGTACCCTAGTTTGGCCACTTGCATCGCATATTTCTTTCTTGTACATACCATGAACGCGTTGTCGAGCTCGATTCACAGCATCCGGGCCTTGGCGTAGCCAGTAGGGGGATCGATCGATGGGTGGGACCATAATTAAGACAAACTGGCGTGCATTTTGCTGTGTCACGAGGTACTCCTGTAACGGTGAAATTATGCATAGTATAAAAAAGAGAGAGGGCGTCGATATAAGGAAGTCGTGTCGTTCAATCCTATAAAGCTTAAGGAATACTTTTATACTGATATACTATACCACAAGCGACTTGTAATGCTCCAGTAGTTTTCGGTCCAATTCATCGGTGTCGAGCCAATCGGCCGTCAAGTTAATGTCGTTGATTCCCACCCAAATTGTGTAAAGCGTTGTTGATGGATCGCGCGGGAAACTGCTAAAATGTCGAGGAAACATGCTTGTGATCTGTGTAGTGACATCAATGACAGAACTATTTAAATGTGTTGTACCACATAAGAGAAAATAGGGGAATTTGTGTGAGGATGCACGTGATGTGTCAGAAGTCTTGCTTTTAAAATCACAAGAAGTAGTAGTATCATTTCTTCTTTTTCTCTTACGAAGCATTCTATTCATTAGTACATACAAAGTAGCCAGAGCAAGTCAGTGGTTAGTGTAAGATACCAATTATTCAGATAACTACATTCTACAACGAAATTGACTACGATTGAATCTAGATATAAAAGAACTGACCTGGCCAACCATTGCGTTTGAAACAGGGGCACTATTATAGGCTAAATTCCAATACTGCATTGGATGCAAATCGACGAGATATTCGACCCAATTACGTCCGCCTGCTGAAGTGCAATTGGCACAAGCGTAGGTCATGGATACAAGATCCAAGTTCTGGGTTGTATATGAATCTCCAAAAGAGTACAAAGTCTTGGTAGTGCTGAAATCAAAAGCTGGAATGTCCCAATTATCATCGTTGACTACTGGAGCAGCATCCGTGGTGACAGAAAGGTAATTGCACCAAGATAGTAATATTAGCCAAAAGGAGAACATCGTGTTACAGGATTTTGCGTCTGAAACTGGCTATGAGGTTTTAAATTTTAGCTTGGAAGGATGGACACTGCACGAAAAGTCTAATATCAAAGCCTTTTAAAAGATCTTGATATTTATATATAAAGAGGCAAAGTAGGCCCCCACAGAAGTTGGGGGGTTTTCAGAGACTGGATGTGGTAGTTATGCATGAAGTATTTTGTTTGTATATGTAAGACCAATATATCGGTGCAAAAAGTTCCCAGTACATGTATTAGCTGCAAGTAGAGAACCTCATGTTAGTTACTCAACTACAGTGGACCCCCGCTTTTTTCAAGGCTGCCATTTCTGAGCACTCTTGAAATTAAAGCGGGTTTGAATTTCTTCGGGGGAAGGGTACTGTAGCAGCAGCAATCTTGTGGGTAAACTTTGAAATTTAGCCAAAACTTTCTCACTACTGTATCTAAATCCATACTGCCACATGCTTTTTCTTGGTGTGTATGCATTATTTTCACTATTACCTGACTACTGATACACAGCTCTACTTATTTGAGATTTTAATTAAAATATAATGGCTTCCCTAATCTCTCTTGAGTTCTGGGAAAAACGAATGACAGCCGCGAGAAGCCAGCAATTCCACTTCTGAAACAACACCATTCACTACTTGAGATCAGTCTTAGTAAATAAAGAAATTGATGGCTCTATATGAGAATGGCCTAACAATGCACAGAAAAACTTTTTATTATATTTTTTATCCACATTCTTCTTTCTTTCAAATTCCTTCTTATGGTGAGCCACATCAATATACTGCTTAAGATATCAATAATGTAATGTTCGCCTACACGATTATATTGTTCGCTATACTTCTTCAAAGTTCGCTTATAGGAAGTCAATGTTCACCTTTAAGAATTCAAACTTCGCTTCGAAGAATGCTTTTTTCGCAGTATTTCAGTTATTGTTCGCTTTAGTTGCGCTATTGTTCGCGTCGATTAAGCTCTTCTCTTTACACGTTCATGCACCCACTGTCAAATAGAAACTTGCTATTTAAAAGCAATTTGCATAGCAAATTACTACATTGCTCTCTGATTTAAAGTGACAAATGGAAGCTGGAGTAATCGGATGGGACTTGCTTTTAATGCTATTCTCTTTGTACAATTCGTAATTAACATTGTCAGAAACCGATGTGCTTTTCTATTTTCTGAGATAACAGCTTATCACATGATTATGACTTTCAATACAGGTTTTGAACCAAGGTCCAATGCCCTGAACGCAATTCTGTAGGCATGGGCTGTTTTTCATAAGGTCATTGGAATATATAAATCAATGCACACGAGAATACGGACATTGTAGCACTCTGTCGCAGTATGCAAGCACGCAATAAGAGAATGGCCAGTTAAGATATAACGTATAAAGGAACTCATAGAAAAGTCATTATTACCTAGAGCGGAACAAGTATATGCTTTATTTGTTCTTTTGATGGTTCCCAGGAACAATCGAACAGCAAATACATTGTGTCAATTTGCTATGCAAATTGCTTTTAAATAGCAAGTTTCTATTTGACAGGGTGCATGAGCGTGTAAGGAAAAGAGCTTAATCGACGCGAACAATAGCGCAACTAAAGCAAAATACTGCGAAAAAAGCATTCTTCGAAGCGAAGTTTGAATTCTTAAAGGTGAACATTGACTTCCTATAAGCGAATTTTGAAGAAGTATAGCGAACAATATAATCGTGTAGGCGAACATTATAATAACGTAAGCGAACAAATAACTCATCCAGCGCCAACAATTTGTTCTTCGAAGTGAACAATTCTTAGCTCTTACCGAACAGTTGCGACTAGATGCGAAATTTTTTGGTAGGACGCGCGAATATTTTCTCAAAAGTGCAAACATTGATCATCCTTTCAGCGAAAATATATCGCATGTTTAGCTGATGTTGCTCGTCTCAAAAGCCAACGAAAAAATGATTCCGAGCGAGGATTCTCCATCCTTCTAAGCTAAAATTTAGAACCTCATAGCCAGTTTCAGACGCAAAATCCTTTATCTGATACGATTTATTCATTAGTATATCTTCTACAGCGGAGTCATTGTTGGTGCTAGCGGAAACGGTAAATGGCCAACATCCGTAGGTAACTTGAGTTTTCAAATTAGCCAAGAACCTGGATGCAATCCGCTGTAAGACCTAAAATGTGTGTCATAGTTAGAGACGACTTCAGGTATTCACCAAGAAACTTGGAAAAGGGTATTTCGCTTGACGTTCACTTCTGATGCCTACTACGGCTTTCATCTTTACACACCTGCACCTTCAAAAGTATAATCACCTGTAGCAGCACCAATCGATATTATGTGTTACAGTGTATCTGGAATTTGCGATTAAAACTAGACGGTACCTCGATCTAAAGACAGTAAATACATGACAGCTGTAGATATTAAACGCCTAGGAAACGCCAATATTCCTATACTGTAAAAGTTCCGGGGATAATTCGAGCTTGTACCTGAATTGATATAAAAACAGCGATTCTGTGTTAGTAACACGGCAATTCATGGTTTACCTATTAAAATGCAACAACTGCTGACGATGAAGGATCGCGCTGTGATAGTAATATGTTATAAAGTAATCGGTTTAATAGTGCGAGCTAACAAGTCGCATTGTACCCATGAGAGGAACATCTTGCCAGACGAAGTGGCCAAGGCCATCTGATACAACACTTGGACACGCCACATTGGACATGCCCTTCAATTAAAAATGCCGCTACCCATGAGAGGAACATCTTGCCAGACGAAGTGATCAAGGCCATCTGGTATGCGACAATAAAAAAAAGAGCAGAGAACAAAGATGATGAGATGCGAAATTATTCAGCATGAGGGACTTCCTTTTCGCTACTGTCATCAGAATTTGAACATCTAGGTTGTCATAACGACCGCCGCAGTTTCCTAGAAAAGGCTACCTTCTCAGTTACCATTGCTTGTAATTGGAACATCTTCGTCATAGTAACAACCGCCGCATTTCCTAGGCAACGCTTACTTTCCAGCTGCTAATTATCAGTAAATGTTTGTATTAATAAGTTCTATGACTTCAATTTGGAAGACTATAAGTATAGGCATACGCGTTTACAAAAAACTTACAGCGTATGCTGCTATTTGAAACATCTGCAGATTTCTCAAAATCACCGTGGCAATGCCAAACAATTCTGAAACTGGTGCGGAAGTTGCTTTTGTTGAAGGTAAGTTGATAAAATAAGCACAAAAAAATTATCAATATAATCCAATACTGATATGTAAAAATAGACATAACGGAAGCCATTACGCAGCTGGCAAAAAAAGATGAACAATTGACGTATCAAGCAGTACTGGAATGCTTTTATGAGCATATCATCAACAACGTGAGTGATCTAGATGCGTTTGAGAAGTCAAAAGCATCGTGGATACGACGAATAAATCAAGTAGCAACCATTTGTAAGGTTGATTTAGTAAGTAACGGAGCTTATCAATACCCTTTTGTTTATGAATAATCGTCGAAGCAAGTTGCAATCGCCGAATGGAAAGAATATGGTCGATAACACATAAGGACGTTTATAGGTTCATCATCAGCCAACTTGGAAAACGGTTAAGGAAGTACTGCAAAAAAAATTGTCTTCATCTCCAGCAACAGAGCCTGCGTCAAGTAGTTTTAAATCACCATTGTCCTCTTCAAAATCTTCATCCCCGCTGAAGACAACATTGAATGAGAAGGATAAGGTTGAATTTGAATGCATGTTCGCCACTCTGGATAAAAGCAAGTTCTGGATACTAAAGGCAAGCATTGAGGAAGCAAAGCATAATGATTTGCCAATCGATTCTATTGAATCGGTTGAAGAAAAAGTTATGAAATTTGCAATGAGTTGCAACTTCAAACAGTAAGTAGTATTTAGCTAGTTATCAGCACGTAACAATGAAGATTTGATCTTCTAATTCTTTCCACACAGTCCAGGCCATTCATTTATTGTTGATCTCGACGACGGAAACTGGGACGAAGTGTTCTCTCCCGCAGAACTTGAAGAAATGGAGGAATATGGTGCTCCCCTTCTGCCACCGATCGATTCGAAGGTTTCCGAAAAACTGGATGAGTTGGCAAAGCTGGTGAGAACCGATGAACTGAAAAATGATTTATGGTACGAGATGTTCACACAATTCTAATGATGTTTTTTCTAGAAAACTGCGAAAGAGGCATACAATTTTGCGTGCCGCCTTGACCATGACCCTGAGGAAGAACCACTGATGGCGTGGCTTATGATGTCGATTTCGCAGACTGCGTATCAGTTCTTGAAGAAGAACAACTTACATATAAGCAATTACCTTGAAGCCGATCAGCAGTATTATCTTTAGAGTTTTATAAGCAATATATTCCATAGAACAGAAAGCATTTGGCCTCTTGGGTGAGTGATAATATTGAATACTCAGACACTTGTATAGGAAAACTACTGTAAACAGTGATTTAATTTTAGTTAAGGATGATAGTGTCAAGCGTTCTAGTAAAAATCTAATTTTATTGATTTTTATCTAAACTGGGCGTCGTCATTCTTCCTAGCCTGTATTTGAATTAATCATTAAAAAACATTATAATTTTCATAGATTAGATACATTTATAAGAATTAAAAAATCATTTATGAATTAAATTTTTTTATCAAACTTTTTATTTTTTTCCTAATATTATTAAACTATTATAGCTGTTTTATCAATGAAACCTATTTTTATTTATATTACAAGGATTACTTCCCTAGCATGATATTAAGTACTTGTACGCATGGCACTTTCTATATGCAGCAAGGAGAAGAGTAGCAACGCCAATGCAACAGCAAACAACAGCAAAAGAAAGCTCTCTGCCGTCGACGAGATTTGCAGAAAAGCCATAGGCAGAAAAATGGACACTGTTTACATCGGCGGAGACGTGGAATTGGGCTGCATGGAAATTGGCAAACCAGCAGCAGACCAAACAAAAGAGATCAAAGATGGGTACATCAAGATGCCGCTTGTCATGAAAGATATGCTTCTTGATATTGCGAACAAAACCCCATCTCTTGTGCACAATACACATATTACTGGCTATCCAATTAATGGTAAGCAGATAAAATGCTGCTAAATGCTGATGTATTCTGGTGAGTAGATGAAAGCACTTACATCTGTTAAATTTTTGTCAAATAGGCACAAACATCTGCATGCTCGATGTCGATTCGCCGAAAGGTTACATAACCTATGTTCGACGAACACGATCCTTACCATACCCCTCTAACAGAGATACATACGTTATCTGTATGATACCACTTTTACGACTGGCAGCTACTGCAATGGCAAAGATGCAAAACACTCTTCATACATACAATCACGCAGAAATTCCTCTCACTAGTTCTAAATCTCGACGCATTATACTGCCACCTTGCTTCCATCCAACATCAACAGCGTCAACAGCAACCTCAAAAACAACATCATCATCATCGGGGGTTAATCCTTAACCGTAATTCCTCAAAAGGTTTTATTAATTAAAGATATATCATTGTTTAAACATATATATGAAAAAATAAAAAATTAGATTAGAATTTTTTTATTTTTTAAACATTTAAGATTTTCTTAAATTTTTTTTAATTCTTTAAAAGGTTTAGGTTTTGTATAAACCTTTTTTAACTGTTTAAACGTTATATCCTTTTATAATTAATTTAAAACAGGCTAGGAGGTACGACGACGCCCAGCGTTGATTTTTTATTGAATGCTTGACAGTATTAAGAATAATAAATAAATTAGTGGTTTACCACATAATTTATTATTATGAATTAATACTCATCATCATCATCATTATCCAAAGGATCGGCAAGCAAACCTTAAAAAAACGAAACAGTGAAAACAGTCCCTGTCATACCCAGTACATCATTTCAATATATTAACACGTCACGAGAGTTACTCACTATGGAAAAGTAAGCAAATTTAGGTTGTGCCTAGTAAGTTCCTGTCATATCTGGTTGATGGAAAAAGTGCGCTTGTTGTTTCTAGTTGTTCTTGGTTCATTATTGTTAGTTTTCGTTAGAAAAAAGATTCAAGAGAAATCTTCAACCATGTTATGTTAAATATGCGATATCTTGGTATATCATGTCCTTGTAAAACTGAAGAAAATACAGCTGTAGTTCGTTGAGCTATTGGCTGTGTACCTCTTATTTTGATTTTGGCTACAATCGAAACAAACATACATTCCTTCAATAATGCTTGCGTCCAAAATTTTATTTGCTTGGAATTCTTCCTTAGTTCTCCCTCTCTGATACTTCGCAATAGTCTACCCATTATAATATACCTTTTGAGCTATGTCAGACTTTGGATATGAAAAAGACTATAACAATACAAATATCAGCAATGAAACCAACCCTTTGTTGTTCTTTGCGATCATGATCGATAGCGTAGATCAGCGACAACTGCAAGTAGAAACGATGTGTGCATGATTATTGGAGATTGTTTAACCGCGTGACAATCAACAACGAGCCCATGCTGCATTCTAATCCCATACCCATTGATCAGCTTATACACACGCCATCAGGCAAAGAAATATACAAGTAAGGAGCATATAGTGGATCACGTGACAATTCGAGCAATATCTGTCCAAAACTCGCCTCAGCCATCTTTTTTTTTTTATACGTGTGATTGCTGATTATTTCTTTTATATCATATCAATATATTTAAACTTGCTATTTAAAAACAATTTGCATAGCAAATTACTACGTTGCCCTCTGATTTAAGGTGACAAATGGAAGCCGGAGTATTCAAATTGTTGGACTTGCTTTTAATGCTATTCTCTTTGTACAATTCGTAATTAACATTGTCAAAAACCGATGTGCTTTTCTATTTTCTGAGATAACAGCTTATCACATGATTATGACTCTCAATATAGGTTTTGAACTAAGGTCCAATGCCCTGAACGCAATTCTGTAGGCATGGGCTGTTTCTCATAAGGTCATTGGAATATATAAATCAATGCACATGAGAATACGGACATTGTAGCACTCTGTCGTAGTATGCAAGCACGCAATAAGAGAATGGCCAGTTAAATTATAACGTATAAAGGAACTCATAGAAAAGTCATTAATACCTAGAGGGGAACAAGTATTTGCTTTATCTGTTCTTTTGATGGCTCCCAGAACAATCGAACAGCAAATACATTGTGTCAATTTGCTATGGAAATTGCTTTCAAATAGCAAGTTTCTATTTGACAGGGTGCATGAGCGTGTAAGGAAAAGAGCTTAATCGACGCGAACAATAGCGCAACTAAAGCGAACAATAACTGAAATACTGCGAAAAAAGCAATCTTCGAAGCGAAGTTTGAATTCTTAAAGGTGAACATTGACTTCTTATAAGCGAACTTTGAAGAAGTATAGCGAACAATATAATCGTGTAGGCGAACATTATAATATCGTAAGCGAACAAATAACTCATCCAGCGCCAATAATTTGTTCTTCGAAGTGAACAATTCTTAGCTCTTACCGAACAGTTGCGACTAGATGCGAAATTTTTTGGTAGGACGCGCGAATATTTTCTCAAAAGTGCAAACATTGATCATCCTTTCAGCGAAAATATATCGCATGTTTAGCTGATGTTGCTCGTCTCAAAAGCCAACGAAAAAATGATTCCGAGCGAGGATTCTCCATCCTTCTAAGCTAAAATTTAGAACCTCATAGCCAGTTTCAGACGCAAAATCCTTTATCTGATACGATTTATTCATTAGTATATCTTCTACAGCGGAGTCATTGTTGGTGCTAGCGGAAACGGTAAATGGCCAACATCCGTAGGTAACTTGAGTTTTCAAATTAGCCAAGAACCTGGATGCAATCCGCTGTAAGACCTAAAATGTGTGTCATAGTTAGAGACGACTTCAGGTATTCACCAAGAAACTTGGAAAAGGGTATTTCGCTTGACGTTCACTTCTGATGCCCACTACGGCTTTCATCTTTACACACCTGCACCTTCAAAGTATAATCACCTGTAGCAGCACCAATCGATATTATGTGTTACAGTGTATCTGGAATTTGCGATTAAAACTAGACGGTACCTCGATCTAAAGACAGTAAATACATGACAGCTGTAGATATTAAACGCCTAGGAAACGCCAATATTCCTATACTGTAAAAGTTCCGGGGATAATTCGAGCTTGTACCTGAATTGATATAAAAACAGCGATTCTGTGTTAGTAACACGGCAATTCATGGTTTACCTATTAAAATGCAACAACTGCTGACGATGAAGGATCGCGCTGTGATAGTAATATGTTATAAAGTAATCGGTTTAATAGTGCGAGCTAACAAGTCGCATTGTACCCATGAGAGGAACATCTTGCCAGACGAAGTGGCCAAGGCCATCTGATACAACACTTGGACACGCCACGTTAGACATGTCCTTCAATTAAAAATGCCGCTACCCATGAGAGGAACATCTTGCCAGACGAAGTGGTCAAGGCCATCTGGTATGCAACAAATAAAAGCGAAAGAAAAAAAAAGAATAATCGCATTGTACCCACGAGAGGAACATCTTGCCAGACGAAGTGGCCAAGGCCATCTGATACAACACTTGGACACGCCACATTGGACATGCCCTTCAATTAAAAATGCCGCTACCCATGAGAGGAACATCTTGCCAGACGAAGTGGTCAAGGCCATCTGGTATGCAACAAATAAAAGCGAAAGAAAAAAAAAGAATAATCGCATTGTACCCACGAGAGGAACATCTTGCCAGACGAAGTGGCCAAGGCCATCTGATACAACACTTGGACACGCCACATTGGACATGCCCTTCAATTAAAAATGCCGCTACCCATGAGAGGAACATCTTGCCAGACGAAGTGATCAAGGCCATCTGGTATGCGACAATAAAAAAAGAGCAGAGAACAAAGATGATGAGATGCGAAATTTTTCAGCATGAGGGACTTCCTTTTCGCTACTGTCATCGGAATTTGAACATCTAGGTTGTCATAACGACCGCTTGTCATAGTAACAACCGCCGCATTTCCTTGGCAACGCTTACTTTTCCAGCTGCTAATTATCAGTAAATGTTTGTATAAATAAGTTCTATGACTTTATTTTGGAAGACTATAAGTATAGGCATACGCGTTTCAAAATAACTTACAGCGTATGCTGCTATTTTGAAAAATCTGCAGATTTCTCAAAATCACCGTGGCAATGCCAAACAATTCTGAAACTGTTCCGGAAGTTGCTTGTGTCGAAGGTAAGTTGATAAAATAAGCACAAAAAAATTATCAATATAATCCAATACTGATATGTAAAAATAGACATAACGAAAGCCATTACGCAGCTGGCAAAAAAAGATGAACAATTGACGTATCAAGCAGTACTGGAATGCTTTTATGAGCATATCATCAACAACGTGAGTGATCTAGATGCGTTTGAGAAGTCAAAAGCATCGTGGATACGACGAATAAATCAAGTAGCAACCATTTGTAAGGTTGATTTAGTAAGTAACGGAGCTTATCGATACCCTTTTGTTTATGAATAATCGTCGAAGCAAGTTGCAATCGCCGAATGGAAAGAATATGGTCGATAACACATAAGGATGTTTATAGGCTCACCAACAGCCAACTTGGAAAACGGTTAACGAAGTACTGCGAAAAAAATTGTCTTCATCTCCAGCAACGGAGCCTGCGTCAAGTAGTTTTAAATCACCATTGTCCTCTTCAAAATCTCCATCCCCGCTGAAGACAACATTGAATGAGAAGGACAAGGTTGAATTTGAACGCATGTTCGCCACTCTGGATAAAAGCAAGTTCTGGATACTAAAGGCAAGCATTGAGGAAGCAAAGCGTAATGATTTGCCAATCGATTCTATTGAGTCGGTTGAAGAAAAAGTCATGAAATTTGCAATGAGTTGCAACTTCAAACAGTAAGTAGTATTTAGCTAGTTATCAGCACGTAACAATGAAGATTTGATCTTCTAATTCTTTCCACACAGTCCAGGCCATTCATTTATTGTTGATCTCGACGACGGAAACTGGGACGAAGTGTTCTCTCCCGCAGAACTTGAAGAAATGGAGGAATTTGGTGCTCCCCTTCTGCCACCGATCGATTCGAAGGTTTCCGAAAAACTGAATGAGTTGGCAAAGCTGGTGAGAACCGATGAACTGAAAAATGATTTATGGTACGAGATGTTCACACAATTCTAATGATGTTTTTTCTAGAAAACTGCGAAAGAGGCATACAATTTTGCGTGCCGCCTTGACCATGACCCTGAGGAAGAACCACTGATGGCGTGGCTTATGATGTCGATTTCGCAGACTGCGTATCAGTTCTTGAAGAAGAACAATCTACATATAAGCAATTACCTTGAAGCCGATCAGCAGTATTATCTTTGGAGTTTTATAAGCACTATATTCCATGGAACAGAAAGCATTTGGCCTCTTGGGTGAGTGATAATATTGAATACTCAGACACTTGTATAGCATGATATTAAATACTTGTACGCATGGCACTTTCTATATGCAGCAAGGAGAAGAGTAGCAACGCCAATGCAACAGCAAACAACAGCAAAAGAAAGCTTTCTGCCGTCAACGAGATTTGCAGAAAAGCCATGGGCAGAAAAATGGACACTGTCTACATCGGCGGAGACGTGGAATTGGGCTGCATGGAAATTGGCAAATCAGCAGCAGACCAAACAAAAGAGATCAAAGATGGGTACATCAAGATGCCGCTTGTCATGAAAGATATGCTTCTTAATATTGCGAACAAAGCCCCATCTCTTGTGCACAATATACATATTACTGGCTATTCGATTAATGGTAAGCAGATAAAATGCTGCTAAATGCTGATGTATTCTGGTGAGTAGATGAAAGCACTTACATCTGTTAAATTTTTGTCAAACAGGCACAAACATCTGCATGCTCGATGTCGATTCGCCGAAAGGTTACATAACCCGTGTTCGACGAACACGATCCTTACCATACCCCTCTGACAGAGATACATACGTTATCCGTATGATACCACTTTTACGACTGGCAGCTACTGCAATGGCAAAGATGCAAAACACTCTTGATACATACAATCACGCAGAAATTCCTCTCGCTAGTTCGAAATCTCGACGCATTGTACTGCCACCTTGCTTCCATCCAACATCAACAGCGTCAACAGCAACCTCAAAAACAACAACATCATCATCATCATCGACTACAGCTTCTCCGTCATCATCATCATCATCATCGACTACAGCTTCTCCGTCATCATCATCATCATCATTATCCAAAGGATCGGCAAGCAAACGCCAAAAAACGAAACAGTGAAAACAGTCCCTGTCATACCCAATAAATCATTTCAATATATTAACACATCACGAGAGTTACTCACTGTGGAAAAATAAGCAAATTTAGGTTGTGCCTAGTAAGTTCCTGTCGTATCTGGTTGATGGAAAAAGTGCGCTTGTTGTTTCTAGTTGTTCTCGGTTCATTATTGTTAGTTTTCGTCAGAAAAAGATTCAAGGGAAATCTTCAACCGCGTTATGTTAAATATGCGATATCTTGGTATATCATGTTCCCTGTAAAACTGAAGAAAATACAGCTGTAGTTCGTTGAGCTATTGGCTGTGTACCTCTTATTCTGATTTTGGCTACAATCGAAACAAACATACATTCCTTCAATAATGCTTGCGTCCAAAATTTTGTTTGTTTGGATTTCTTCCTTAGTTCTCCCTCTCTGATACTTCGCAATAGTCTACCCAATATAATATACCTTTTGAGCTATGTCAGACTTTGGATATGAAAAAGACTATAACAATAAAAATATCAGCAATGAAACCAACCCTTTGTTGTTCTTTGCGATCATAATCGATAGCGTGGATCAGCGACAACTGCAAGTAGAAACGATGTGTGCATGATTATTGGAGATTGTTTAACCGCGTGACAATCAACAACGAGCCCATGCTGCATTCTAATCCCATACCCATTGATCAGCTTGTACACACGCCATCAGGCAAAGAAATATACAAGCAAGGAGCATATAGTGGATCACGTGACAATTCGAGCAATATCTGTCCAAAACTCGCCTCAGCCATCTGTTTTTTTTGATACGTGTGATTGCTGATTATTTCTTTTATATCATATCAATATTTTTAAACTTGCTATTTAAAAACAATTTGCATAGCAAATTACTACGTTGCCCTCTGATTTAAGGTGACAAATGGAAGCTGGAGTATTCAGATTGTTGGACTTGCTTTTAATGCTATTCTCTTTGTACAATTCGTAATTAACATTGTCAGAAACCGATGTGCTTTTCTATTTTCTGAGATAACAGCTTATCACATGATTATGACTCTCAATACAGGTTTTGAACTAAGGTCCAATGCCCTGAACGCAATTCTGTAGGCATGGGCTGTTTTTCATAAGGTCATTGGAATATATAAATCAATGCACACGAGAATACGGACATTGTAGCACTCTGTCGCAGTATGCAAGCACGCAACAAGAGAATGGCCAGTTAAAATATATCGATAGTTTTAATGTGGCGTCGAGTGAAATCCGAATTGACATAACGTATAAAGGAACTCATAGAAAAGTCATTAATACCTAGAGGGGAACAAGTATATGCTTTATTTGTTCTTTTGATGGTTCCCAGGAACAATCGAACAGCAAATACATTGTGTCAATTTGCTATGCAAATTGCTTTTAAATAGCAAGTTTCTATTTGATAGGGTGCATGAGCGTGTAAGGAAAAGAGCTTAATCGACGCGAACTATAGCGCAACTAAAGCGAACAATAGCTAAAATACTGCGGAAAAAGCATTCTTCGAAGCGAAGTTTGAATTCTAAAAGGTGAACATTGACTTGCTATAAGCGAACTTTGAAGAAGTATAGCGAACAATATAATCGTGTAGGCGAACATTATAATAATGCAAGCGAACAAAGAGCTTCAATGAAGCGATCATATAACTCATCCAAAGCCAACAATTTGTTCTTCAAAGTGAACAATTCTTAGCACTTAGCGAACAGTTGCGACTAGATGCGAATATTTTTTCAAAAGTGCGAAAATTAATCCTCCTTTCAGCGAATATATATAGCTTGTTTAGCTGATATTGCTCGTCTTTAAAGCCAACAAAAAAATGATTCCAAGCGAAAATTCTCCATCCTTCTAAGCTCAAATATAAAACCTCATGGCCAGTTTCAGACGCAAAATCCTGTATATTTATACGAATAGATCACAGAGAAGAAAGAGAGAAAAGATGACTTTTTAAAAACAAGAGATTGGTGTTGGGTGGAGATCAAGATAAAGAACGGTCAGTTATGCTTGCCAGCGAAGAAAAAAGCTAGTTTTATAAGACTTGAAAACAGACTGGCTGCTGGTTGGTACAGTGGTCCCCCGCTTTTCGCAACAGTGGAAAGTCCCAGAAATTGTTGCAGAAATCGAAGATTTGCAAAGATCGGGGGACTACATTTTTTAGTTTACTGTAGCTCAAGTCAGGTGCTATACATTGGACTGTTCACAGATAAACACAAATGCATGTTTTAGCAAAGAAATGTCCAGATGTTTCAATGAAAGCAATAAACCTTTGCCTTTTGTATTTTTAAGTATCCGTCTATTTCTTTTTCAGTTAATGGCTAAAACATTCAACAAGCCAACAGCAGAGCAACAAGATAGAATTGGGAGGAGCATTCAAGCGGAAGAGCCAGCAGTTTGAAGGAGTTGGTTAACTTTTCAAGACTAGTTATCCGAACATCCTGTCACCGCCCGCTCGACATTCTCACGAGCCTTGAAAAGAAGACGTTTAGATCCCTTTGCTTGTGATCGCTCAGCTAGCAGAACAGCCCGGTGCCGAGCCGAAGGAGTGTATGCTGTACGTATATACGTTACTTCTCATAAAAGGGGGATAATAACACCTACTATGTGATCTTCTACGTTGTGCATACATATAGGATATCAAATTATATGTGTGTTCAAATCATAGTTTACTTCTATGCTTAAACACAAAGGACCCCGGTTACATGCAACATCCATCAACTGACTTTGACGTTGCGAATTATAAGCATGAAAAATACCTCGATAAGATGCAATGGATCATAACAGGTTTGCAAATTGCATATTGCGGAAAAACTAAGTTTTTAGTGACAGGACTGGACTGATTGTTGCAGAAATCGCAGCATTTGCGAAAGGTAGGGGTGCAAAAAGCGGGGGACCACTGTACTTGTATGCATGAGCAGGACAATAATGTGACATTGCCGGAAAAGAATTAACGATATTTTGGCAATATCATTTTGTGTTTAGTGCGGGTCCGGACTCAGGTCCACAGCATAGCGGGGACCCAATCTTGATATCCAGGAAAAAAAAAGAATTTTCGAAGCTTCGCCACTTTTCTTTTGTCAGGCACATCTGTCAGATTCCGTTTCCTTCATCTCATTTCCATTCCTCATTAAATCGTTCACTATCTTAACAACATGAGCAGAGGTCGTGGTAGCACTGTTACTCCCGCTAGGAGAAGCACCGCCCGTTTGGCTAATCGCCCGGGCCGTGTGGTGGCGAGTAATGGTGCCTCACCACGTCCTCTTTCTCTCCCTGTCCCTCCCCCTCTACCACAGTATACTTCTTTCATGAGCTCGCAAATAGAGTATCAAGCTGCTGCTGAATCTGCTGCTCGAGCTACATACGAACAAGCACGAGGAAGCCGTCCGCAGAATACAGTTAGATCGTATTCTCCCAGGCAGGAAGAATTTCTCGAGTGGTGCCGAAGACGCTGTCCAAATGATCACACTAACCAGTTGATCGACGACAGAAAGCTTCATCTTTTTCTTGTGGAAGAGGTTAGCCACATATCTGTTCGCAATCTATATATGTACGCATGTCTTACAATTGTGTTCTTTTTAGGTCGTCTTCAGAGAGAAGCGTAAACCTGGAAGAAAGAGAAAAGAGCCAGAGAATTCTGTGCTGTCGCCCGCCTCGTCACCCGCTCCTGCCATGCGTACCATCACCACCACCATGCCATCATCCTCGTCTGCTGCTGTTCTCTCGCCCGCCACCGCCGTCATGCCATCATCCTCGTCTGCTGCTGTTCTCTCGCCCGTCACCACCATCTTGCCATCATCGTCGTCGTCATCATCTGCTGCTCTACCTGTACGCGATGCTCCGGGTTATACCGTTGAGCAACCTGTTGCGCCTGATGCCCCCGCCCCCAAAGTCAAGCTTGCTACCGTTAAACAATACATTACTTCCATTGTCGATCTCCATTTTGAACAAGCCGAAACAGACCCTTGCTTCAATCGTCCGCATCCGCGTGGCCCGCTTGTTCATGCACTGGTTGATCATTTGAAACGTGTGGAAAACGAGCTTAGTCGACAAAACTACGAAGACAGAGGCATGCGTACGACAGCAGATGGATATTCGACATCAGCTGAGATGGAGCGTATTGTAGATCATTTTCTGGCCACCAACAAGCAACAAGGACTGCGAAACTGCACTGCTTTTCTTCTGCAACACTATGGACTTCTACGGGGCGAAAGCGTTCGTATGATGGAACTTGCCGATCTACAAACGTTACTTCTTGAGCGCGAGGGTGTCACTGAATGTCATGCGTTGGTGATGGTGCTTAAGCAAGGAAAAACAAACCAAGAGGGCCGTGTGGAGTTTGCTGCTGCGATGCGTAACGCCAATGTTGTTATCTGTCCTTTGATGATGCTTTCCTTTTATCTCTTTCATCGGTGGCACGTTGCTGGTGAGGCATTCCCTTGTTTCCAAAGCAATCGAGATTGGTTCGACATCAAGCTCATCAGAGGCAGAGATCGCAACACGCAGTCCATTACGTATGATCGTCATCGCGAGTGTATTTTAGAAGCATTCAAGTCAGTCGGCATTCACAGTAAAGCGGTCACTCACGCTATGAGGGGTTCGTCAGCACGCATGGCAGAGATATCTGGAACGAGCGAAGAGTCTATCCGGCGATTAGGTCGTTGGAATAATTCTGCTTTATCGACCAGTTATCTAACCAATTTGCCTCGTGATATCTTGCGGACCATGGCAGGATTCACTAGAGAGGCTGGCCAATTCTACTTACCTCGTGCTGCTGTTACACCACCCCTTGAGCTTTGCAAGAAGGTTTTTCCTGAAGTCGATCGGTGGCGGGCGCTGCTGGATGCCAAACAAGTGGAGGACTCGTGCGCGGCTGATTCGTTTTTGCGTCTTCTTGTGCAGTTGCGTGTTGTATTTTTGCAAGATTCGGTTTTGATGAAAAAGCGCTGTCCAGGTCATCATTTGTGGCAAGATCCTTTGTTCCGTGATCCTTTGTATCTTGAATTTGAACAGTATGTGCTGGTGGACTACAGTCTTTCGTTTATATACTAATTATCCTTTTAAAATAGTAACTTGAATCATGCACTTGAAAACAACGAAGAGCCCACTGATCTGTTACTTCAACGTGCCGTGCCGATCATTGAAAATAGACTTGCCATCTTGCAACAACAAATACAACAACAAATCGCTGCTCAGCAACAAGACACCAATCGCATTGTACAATCTTTCTCTAACGCCATACCCACTCTGGAAGCACTTGCGCAGCTTGCACCAAACATGAGTCGTATAGGAGATATTGTACAGCATTGGGACCGCATCGCCAGCGGACAAGCGTCCTTGAGCGTCACGCTCAACTTGGCAGGTCAGCAGCAGCAACAACAACAAGATCAGCAACAACAACAGCAGCAGGAAGGTTGGGGCTCGGTTTCGCTCCCGTCCTCGTCCTCCTCCCTCCCATCCACCATGACAGCAACTGTGGTACTGCCATCAGCAGCACCAGCGCCATCATCATCTTCGTCGTCGTCGTCAGCAGCACCAGCACCAACATCGTCATCATCATCGTCAGCAGCATCAGCACCAACTCATCACCATCATCATCACCCCCAACAACAACAGCCCATATATCCATCCATGAACCGCACAAACGTCCAAACAATCCCACAATTATGGACTGAATGGTTTGACGGTTGGAATGGCGGCATGTCTGTGATTAGAATGGAAGAAGTGTACAAAACTGCATGGCGAAAAAGTGATTCAGACGGCAAATGGTTTCGTAGAAGACGAGCGATTATTCGGAAAGTTCAAGATTATATCGAAAGAAAAGGAATGCAAGAAAGAGTACCAGAAGCGTTGGACACTATACATAGACACTATCTCGCTGTCGGCATTACCTCATTAGATTCACTATCGAAAGACTTATGTTTTTTTGATACACTTTAAACTTTTTGTATATTCATTTCACCATCTTGTTCTTTTTTTCACTCGCTAGCTTTCCCTTTGACACGCTTTTATTTCAACTTTCTAACATTGGCCTTGCTTGGCCATATTTTTTTTATTGTATTACTTTCATGTTGTGGTCTGTTGGCCATGATGGTTTTTGCCTCGCTTTTTTTTTCTTTTTAACTTTTGCTTGTTTCGTGGCCTTGTTTGGCCCTTTTTTTTTTCAAAGAATATATAACTTTTGTTTTGTGGGCTCACGAGGCCTGTCCTAAAAATGATTGTCAATGGTTTCGAATAGGGAATGCTTATAATAGTACGTTTTCTGAAGCATGATGAAATGCATTTGATAAATTAGTTGCACTTGATGCAGAGCTTAAGATGTAGGAATTAGATTATATATATACACGCAGTACTGGATATGGCTCTAATATTAGTAATTTAATAATGGACACTCGAGACGACTGTGTATATTACGAACGATACATGGTTAGCAGCATGGCGATAATGTATTACTGGGAACAGAAATATGTTGTTTAAATGAAGGCGATGTAGATTAGTTTTTCTCTCCAAAAATGTTCGTACTGCTGCAGATGTTGCGCTGGTTTTTCGCACCTTCCGCTGTCAAAATGCATTGTGAATACATAAATCTTGAGCAGTTATCAAGGAAGGATAGTCATTAGAACTGCTTATAGTTAGTTCATCGGTCGATAGCGATTACAAAGTGGTTTTATAATCGTTGCAATGGCAGCAATAAGTTGCTGTTATTCATCAGTCAGGCAAAGAAAGGAACAAGATATGACATGTTCCTACACAACACTAACTATCTCTACCTAGTGTCTGTTACATGTTCAAAGTACAGGAAAGGAGAGAAAACATTGTTAATATCTCAAGCATAGATAGAATAGCGTATACCGTTCAATCCACTGAATCAATGTGCCATCTATACCAATGCTTTTTGAAAGCTATCAACAAGGTACCTGACGAGACAGAAGAAAGATAGGGTTAGTCTGAAGTGTAGACACTGATGTTGGATCTACGTGTATGTTAGAGTGTAATAGTTTTGCTAACACCATGGCATCCATATCACTGTCATCTAACATTGAAAGTATTGGAGAGATCACTAAAATGTAGGCTCTTTGAGTGGTACAGTTGCTGTATGTAGCTAGCATGATACAAATTACACGACCTAGAGCAGCTCATTCATTAAGAACAGCACGATTTAAAAAACTTATTCTGCAATCTCGGATGACATTAACCTTTCCTTAAATACATGGAATCAATGCCCGGTTCATTTAAAGCATTTTGAAGGTTTTCTGTAATAATTCTAAAGATACCAAGCTCTTCTTTTATTAATAACAAGCAGGTCCACGGCTCTACTTATAAAAACGGTCCCCAACAATTGATATTCGCAGATATCATTCGGTATAACCAATGATATCGCTGGATATCACTGTGGTCCTGCTATCGGGATTTCAAAAAATGGTGGACCCAGGTGGACTTTGGTGGACCTCAAGATTTTATACTTCTGACTACACAGTAACTGCTGCCTGCGCCAGACACAGACGAAAAAATTCAAGAGTAGATGCTGCATACCGCACTTTCTTTTTACTTTATACAATCAAAACAAAGGCAACTGTAAGTAGTGTACATGATGTGAACGCTTATTCTATATCTTTTTTAGCAAAGCGAGGAACGAAGCCGTAGAACACAGCAACAAGCATAGGAACGCAACTAACAAATAAAGAGTGAGGGGCAGGGGGAGGTGGGAGGCACAACTTCCCTTTTTTACAATTTCGCCTGGGCAGGTGCTGGTTCCTTAAAGAACGTCTGACTGACAACACGGCGTTGGATTTTACCCGTGGCTGTCTTGGGCATGATGTCCGTGACATAGATCCGCTTGGGCACCTTGAACTTGGCCAATTTAGTCTGGCAGTAAGCCTGTAATTCGCGCTCGACAGCAGCCTCACTCTTGCTAGCCTTGTCCTTAAGCACGACAGCGGCATGCACTTCTTGGCCATACATAGGATCAGGCACAGCAAAGCTGACAGCCTCTGCGACGCCGGGACTGCTCAGCAGGACGCCATCCAGTTCAAGTGGAGAAATTTTCTCGCCACCACGGTTGATTAACTCCTTAATTCTGCCCGTCAACACAAGATAACCGTCCTTGTCCTTCTTGCCCTGATCACCGGTGCGGAAATAGCCGTCCTTGGTGAATGACTCGGCAGTTGCCTTGGGATTGTTCAAGTAGCCACGCGTCACGTTGGTACCACGGATACACACTTCACCTTCCTCGACGGGGTTGCCCTTGTCATCCAAAATGACAATTTCGACGCCTTGGCCAAGACCAACAGAGCCGGGCTTGTGGACGCCTCGGCTAGGCAACGGGTTCGAGGTCATCTGATGTGCAGCCTCAGTCATGGCATAAGCCTCCAAGACAGGTGCCTTGAAATGCTCCTCGATGGCCTTGAAGGTGGCAGGGGCCAGGCTGGATGAGCAGGAGCGGATAAATCGGATGGGAGGGACCTGCGATGGCGGGTTGCGGAGCAGAATCTGATGGATCGTCGGAACTACATTGTTTATTTTTATGGGTTTTGGCAGAAAAAAGAAAAAAAAATTGTTTTAAATCACATTATGCACGCTGATAAGAGAATGGAACAGGCGCTAAATAGGCAAGGCTGCCCACAGAAAGCACACATACCTGCGGTGTACCAGTTGCATCCAGTATCTACAAAGTCCTTCCAGAAATGTGAGGCACTGAATTTTTGGGGAATCACCACCGAGCCACCGGACAAAAGCGTTGCGAGCAATCCACAGACCAGGCCGTGGACGTGGAACAATGGCATGACGAGATAGGTGCGGTCCTTTGGCGAGAGATCGTATGTCCCGATGATATTGCGCATCGACGTGGCGAGGTTGATGTGGGACAACGGCACACCTTTCCAATAAAGTCATCTCATTAATCTCCCTTTTCCCTTCCATTCCAATCGACGGTATGATCGCCAACGATGATTAATTTTCGTGCATCTATCTATCTATCCTTTGTACCTTTGGGTCTTCCTGTCGTTCCGCTCGTGTGTAACAGCAAAGTAACGTCGTCTGGCCGGGGTCCAAACGATGGCGCAACTCGACTGGTTGATCTTGCTGATTTGTTCGATGCTAAAGCCACCACATCAATTGCTTTGCCGTCCCAGTGGGCCTCGACCACCACGGTTCCCTGCTTTTGAGCTGCCCGGATAGCAGCATTCTTGGTCTTGTCGTTGGCAGCACCACGAGGCACAACCATGACCTTGGCCTTGGAATCCTCGAGATAAAAGTTAAATTCGTCTTCAGTGTATGCGGGGTTCAGAGGAGCGGAAATAAGACGCATGAAGCCCGTGCCGAGGAAGGCAACGACGAATTCGAGCGAGTTCAAGTATGAGATGGCGACCGCATCGCCGGGCTGGAGACCTGGAACCAGCGCATTCAGCTGCGAGCTAAAGTCGCGGATGGTATCCAAGAGTTGGGGGTACGATAGCGTGCAGGCAATCGGTGCGGACGATGGCACGATGACGGCTGGCTGGTTGGGGTCGTTTTTGCCGTGAAAGATGCTGTACAGAGTCTTGTCCATATTTTTTTGCGGATCGAATAAGGGAAAAGTGAAAGGAGAAGAAGAGCAGAAGAAGGAAAGAGAGCGTGATTCGTGGTAAAATAAGGTTGTGATAATCACGACATGACGCAACCTCTGTCACACCACATCGGCTCAAGCTGAAGGGTATAAACAGTTCATTGCGAAAAAAGACGCTATTTCAAGCTGAAGGTTGCTTCGGAGCATTTTGTTTGTTATGGAAACCTTGTTCCCTTCTTCATCACAAGCAATCATAACGATGAAGGAACGCACCTACCATGTGTTAGCTTTGCTGGAATACACTATGTGCTGTGCCCGATGCCTGATGTATTGCAGCACATGAGTATGTATATTTTATGCAAGGGTTTTGAACTAACACCCTACCTCTACACAATGACGTCTGTTCTACTCATTTCCCTCTTGTTACTTAATGTGCATTCAATCATCAGGACAGCCACCTCATGACACTCCTAATCTTGCAAAGTCGGATACGAGCTTCGCAATACTCTCACTATTGCCTCTCGTTCAGCGGAAAACACGTGTGAAGAATGTGGAGAGATGTCTGACATATAAAACCGTTTAAATTATATTCCGAATTACCGGAGGCAAGAGTGCGTGTTGTTCCGACCAGATTTTTGAGATTACACGATGCACAGTTCATTGCGCTATGAAGCTCAATTATCGTCTTCACCAACACAAGCATAATCAGGCTGACGTGAAGCAACGTCAGCGACGCTAAAGGCGTCTACGGCGACAACAGCGACAACAGCGACTCTTTTGGAGATCCTGGAGAGAACTTAGTGGTGACGATTCATTTGCAACTCAAAGCGACCTCGATTCACCCATTGCAAAAGATGCCTTACCACAACTATCACCTCAGGAACGTTCTCTACTCGGTCGAGCACTTATGCGGCTTCCTATTGCCACCAGTCCAAAAAAAATATTAATTGTACAACAAGCGAGCAACAACAGCCACCAGCACATTTACGGACATCTATTACCCGCATAAATGCTGGCGAAGAAGCTGCCAGCGAAGCAGAACTCGTGCTAGTATCCAAAGCATTGTGCGCAAAGGTGAGAACATATACGGGTGCAGCTAGTTGGCTGAGAACGCCTATATTAAACTGCGCGATTCAGCCAGCTAGTAAGCATATGGTCATTTTATGATGACATTTAAAAACGGTGGTACAGTTGACCTAATTTTCCAGAAAATGCTTGTATATATTGGAATCATTTAAAGCTGACTTATATACTTTCGGGAGAGTCGCCTGAATAGCCGTATTGTAACGCACTGCTACAATTAAGCTTTTTCTTTTATTCTGGACAAACTCTAAGTACCGTGGCCTAGGGGATATACATTTGAGCTTGTGCTATGAATTCTTTATAGCGTAAAAGACAACGTGCAGATTTCTCGGCGAAAAATCTACTTCGTTTGATCATGTTGATTTTTGTTAAATATGATTTGTTAAATATAATATTTTATGCATTCGCCATTAAGATACTTCTGAAGTTTGCAATAAAGGACGCAACAGAGAGTTAGTGAATTGCAATAACAGCTGTACCCTTTTCCTTTATCGATATCACATGTTACAAGAGATGAACAAGCCTGAAAAACAAGATCCAATTGAGTGTTTGCTGAAAAATCAAACTACAGTACTCCTGCTTTATACTGCTTCAGCTGCTATATATATACGTAAGGAGTCCAACTCTTTTACAATCATTCTGAGGAAGACGGCTTTAGAAAAGATTGCACCCTTTTTTAGGTAGTCTCCAACCCAAAATAGCATAACAAGGCTTAATATTCATTAACTTCTTACATGTACCGCGGCGACCTAATTTACTTACTGTTACAGTGGCCGCTCGTTATAGTGATATTCGATATAGTGATATTTCGATATAGTGATGGGTTTATCGGGTCCAACTCAAATTAAGCAGGGAATTATTACTAATTCGCTATTGTGATATGTGATATCAACCATCAGAAATATCATTATATCGAGCGGACCAATAGTATAATTTTATTTATCAGAAAAGGAAAAAAGATCAGTTTGCTTGTGCTGGTTAATATCTCAGAGTCTAGTCTATGCATCTTTTTTCTAATAAGCCTATATAACTGAGCGTGCAGGTCGTCTTCACCCACCATTGTTTTCAATAAATCGCTCATATACTGCTTCCTCTCTCCTTTACTATGCAGTGGCTTCAATGCTTCCTTCTCCTCATCTCGTCTTCTCTAGTTATTCTCTTCATCATCAACATCTACCTGTCTGTATCAGAAACAAGCCCGTGACTTTTACATATGCAGTTACATCAGCCGTTTATGAATGTACCTTAATCTCTATCAATAATCAAAGCATCGTTAATGAGGTCGTTGAAGGAAGTTGGTGCATAGGTATCCTCTACAATAATTCTTCATATAGTATCAAATCAATACCATCAACGCCACATGTTTCCTCATGAGTATCCAAAATCCCAGCAGCCAGCACCAAGCTCATCAGATAGAAGCCTTTCAGCTTATTCTCCTACACTAAAATTTTCAAGGAGTTGCATACTATCAATTTTGACAGGATGTGATTCTAGAGCTTCTTCTGTAGAGCTCGCCAAATACCCCGGGTAATATATGTACCGGATATCTTTGACGGAACTGCAATTCGATAAAGTAATAATTCGATATAGTGATGGGGTTTGGGTCTCACCGGGCATATCACTATAACGAGCGGCCACTGTATAATATGAAAAGCGTGTTTAAATAGCTTTATTTGATATAGTCACTATTCGCTGTTAGAGTGGACATTTCTAGTATAAACGCGTCTACATTTAAGCAAAGAGAGCATGTGTAAGCACAGAGCCACAATCTTACAATGTAAAGTATACCGCACTCATAGGCACCCGGTGCCGAGCTGCTTGAGTGCAATGTTAACATATTATATGTACTCAACGTAGCTGAAGAACCTAAAAGATTGTTGTTGAAAAGCACTTTCTAAAATCACAATACGATGCATATTATATGTATAAAATGCACATGTGTAAGTATGGCAAGACGTACTTTTTGTAGCAAATGAAGACCCAGAACATCATCCCATAAAATTGTATTTAATGGATTACTCTTTTACTCTTTCTGCATAACAAACTGCTGTACTAATACAAATTTGGCCATTAAGGAGAATTTCAAAGAAGCTCGTCCTTTCACATGATTCCTCTGTGTCTGTGTGCTGGACAGCATAATACTGAAAAATCCATACACGATGCTGCTATACCTTCTCTGTTATTAATGATTCAAGGCTCTGATCAAGTAGATAGGATGATCATGCAGATGGGAGTGCATTCATCTTCAGTAAATGCTGATATCAATATCCATGATCTGCATCGATACAGAGTCCGGGATACTCCCTCGAAAGTTTGTGCTACAGACTAAACTGTGTTAGTGACGATTTTTGATATAACACAGGGATCAAATACCACAAGCGAACAATGTCATACTTAACTTGTCATACAGCTATCTTTCCTGATGGACAAACGCTCAAGAAAAGGGAAGGTGAATAGTAGCAACTCAACTAATCACACCATCAACATCATCACGGGATCTATTTGTCGTGCCGTAAAGATATGTGTAGCATGATGCATATTTGGAAAGCATGGATATCTTCACGGATCACTCGAGGACGATATCGGGAAGATCTGGCCTCGTACGGAAGGTGATATTCACATAAATGTCTAATGTGACGTAATGATTGGACCATGGTATAAACGTGGAGTAGATGTCCGTGCTACAAATTCTAGCCGAAGTAAGCAAATAAAAAATTATTTCGGGGAAACACGTCTCTAATTTTTCTTTTTCTGTTGTTGCCACACACATACACAACTATGCCCAAAGCTATAATTGCACCTTCTGTTCTCGCATGCGACTTTGCTAATTTGCAGGCCGAGGCTACGCGCATGGTCAAGAATGGCGCCGACTGGCTTCACTTGGGTAAAGTGAAATACGCGCTTGGCAACTCCTGCCCCGCACATTCAGAATTGTGGCATAAACCGGGATAATTGACTAACCTGAGCCTATTGACCATTGTGTACTTAGATGTCATGGACGGGTACGCTTTATATAAAAGGATTCAATGTACACGGTTGTTTATTTCCGTTATTAATAGAAAGATATATTAGTCACTTTGTTCCAAACATCACCATGGGTGCTCCTATCATCAAGTGTCTTCGTCCATGCACCGAGGCGTTCTTTGGTGAGTCAAGGTTCATTTGATCTTCTGGAAAAAAGAAGGGTGATAGGATGGGGCTATTGAAATGAGCTGGGACATGCGATTGAATGAATACGCACTATTCAAGATTGCCACATGATGGTTGCTGAACCCTCGCGTTGGGTGGAGGATATTGCCAAGGCCGGAGGCAACATGTACACATTCCACATTGAGGCTACCAAGGAACCCGTTGCATTGATCCATCAGATCCACAAGGCTGGTATGAAGGCTGGTGTCGCTGTTAAGCCCGGCACGTCCGTCGATGTCGTGTTAGGTGAAGTGGCCGAGTTGGCTGACATGATCCTGATCATGACTGTCGAGCCCGGCTTTGGTGGCCAAAAGTACAAGGAGGAGTGTATCCCCAAGGTTCTCACCTTGCGTCAAAAGTACCCTCATCTGGATATTGAAGTCGACGGTGGTTTGGCTTTGGACACGATCGATTCGTCAGCACAGGGCGGTGCCAATGTGATTGTCGCCGGTACCTCATTATTCGGTGCACCCAATCCTCATGAAGTGATTTCAATTTTTAAAGAAAAGGTGAACGAGGCACAGAAGCAATGGATTTAATAAAGTAGTACTTATTGTTTTATCATCAGTATCAGCAATTTGGAAAAAGGGAGAGAATGATATGCAAATGTAAAAGTGAGAGAGTTACAGAGGAGGGAATGCAGTACGTCAGGGTTTTTTAAAGTTGGCGGCTTCCTGGTTGTTGTGGTTTGCTGTCGTCGTCAATGCCCAACCGTTTCCGAGCGTCGGCACTGCGTTGTTGACTTGTAGAACTGTTGGCTAAACGTCTTCGCTTGGCCACGAAGCGGCTACTTGAAGATGCTTCTGCCGATGCTACAGTGTCGATAGCCGTGTCCTTTTTTTTGGTTTTGGTTTCACTTAGGGTTTGATTGAATAGGTTATCCTTTTCTTTGTCGCCTCCTTGTTGTGCAACCTTCTTTGCCATTTCAACGCGCCGGGCTTCTTCTTGTTGATGCAGTTCTCTTAAGCTGTCCAATTCTTCAACATCACTAATGTCGAGCGTGATGGCGGTAGGAACTCTGCGAATCATTTGAATGGAAGGAGCAGAAATGGATTTAAAAAATGCGTAAGAAGAAAACACACTGACAAGAGCGGCATAACAGTTGTATTGTACTTTTTTAAAATAAGCTCTAATGACAACACTATTGATGACGTGTGCTCTGTGGTTCTAAGAAACAGCTCCTCTCCACCTGTTTCTAAAGTTGATACTGATGGCAGCTGAAGAAGTAGGTATCATGCTTCAACCTTTATACATCATGATCATAATACTGAATAAAGATCTGTAGCCGCAATATTTCAGATAAGAAATCGTCCCACGAGTCACTATCCTTACTCGCGGCTGTTATGCAGCACATACTGCTCGGGGCATGGTATATGAAAACAGATGTAGCGGTTGTGCCCAGTGGCTAGGCTATGCGATACTTCCACAGTGCTTGCGTAAACAATGACATGTGTTATACATACTATTTTGTCAAACAGGTATTACAAGAGGTGTGATACACTCTTCTTCTTCTCTAGCACAACTTCCTGAAAACATCAAATATTATTTTTTCTTGTTATACTTGGTCTCTTCGTTGTCGCTATCTTCCTCATCGTCAGCGATATTGAATAATGGTGTACGTGGCTCATTGCTGTTCTCGTTTGTAGCAGCAGGAGGAGCAAAAGAAGAGCCATGAGTGGTGTCCATAGTAGCGCCTTGCATATCGCCAAACTCTTCATCCTCGTCGCGGCCAATACTATCCCCATCCTCATCATCTACGCTTCTTCGGTCCTGGCGCCAGTTCCTCCGATCTGCGAAACGACCGTGCTCTTCCTCCTCTTCATCTTCTATATCATATTGGCCACCACTTAAAAGGCCTATTCGTGATTCTGGATCGCCTTGCTCCTCATCACCAACATCGTATCCGCGTCTTCGTCTTGGTTCTGTGGGGCGTAGTTGGAAGCTACGTTGGTTCGGTAGTAGTCGGTTTGCCCGCTTCAGGCAAAAGCACATGCCTACGCCTAGCAAAAGAACCACGATATACTAAAACCAGGAGTAAGCAAAACGGGTAAGAGAGCCAAGACAAAAATAAGCAGGGTTATCCAAGTGCAAAACGTACGATAACAATCGTGGATGGAATGTCGTAATCTTTTGGTGGGCCTCGTTTACTTAGCATTGTAGAAATCTAAAAGCATCAAATTTCAGACCATTGCAGCTAATTTTAAAAAGAACATATGCAGGAAAAAAAGCTTATTGTTACCCTGATTCTCTTGTTCTTTTCACCAAAATATATGCGTGAATATAAAAGTGTGTGTGGGGCGTCGTCGATCCAAAACCCGGAGAAACGGCGCCGTGACGAGCAGGCCCGATGAAATTTATGCAGTTTTCTCACCAACGTCAATCTTCACAAACGAGTAGCAGATATTAGCTGCATAACGACAATATCATGCGCACAGACGAAGGCAGCTTTCAAACAGATCATCAGAACACATTCTTAATATTGCTTTATCATTTTGAGCCGCTTCGTTCACAGTATATCAAGTATCATTATACAGGTATTAGGCTGCTGAAGAGCCTTCAGAAAAAGTACTAATCACTCGGACGAAGCCAAGCCAGAACACCCACCAGTTGAACAGGTCAATGGAAAGCTAAGCGTCAGAACCAAAATAAACCAGTGCTCTACTATGGACAATGCCGCAGTCACTCGTCTTTACCCGACCTGTACATAGCGTTTGCTCGTATTTCGCCCTTTTCCTTCGATGCAAAACACGAGCACCTCTCAACGATGATCGTCCATTTTCTCTATTGTAGCCACAATTAAGTATGACAATAAACGATGTATATGCAGTCTCTATTTATTCAGTCAAAATCAATCATCATGTTGCAAAACATAAGCGTCGTAAAGGTATCATCGGCTGCCTTGATCTGTCCGTCTGCCCGTCGTTGCCCGACAAACACAAAGACTTGCTCTTCCTCTCCTAGCAATCCACCAGGTATTAATTTCTTTTCACCATCGTCACCACTGTCGTCGTCGTCTTCATCTTGTTTAAATTCGAGTTTGCGGACGGGCTCATAATCAAAGTAGCGACCGAAATAATCCTGCCAAAATCCAGATTCCTTTTCCAGCGAACGACACTTGTATCCGATCACGATCTTGGTCGTTGGTGAGCAGATCTCGATTAAAGACTGCGTCAAGATATCAAAGAGTTCGGGAAAGTAGACACAGTCGCTGATCAGAATCAGATCGATGGGACCCTCTTTAAGAATAGCCGACGCATCGCTGGTGTTGCCCCAATGTAGACGTTCGACACGTACGGTTGCCGAATTATCATCAACAATGTGTTGATAGTGCTGAGTGACATTATCTCGGATCAGCGGCAAGACAGGTTCCAGGTCCGTAATAATCATTTCGCATGGTTGCCGTAACATGTTGGCTAGCCAAATGCCAACATAGCCGGTGCCTGCGCCTAGCTCGAGAATTCGAAATGGTTGGGTAGGTACAGGGCTTGGATCGTTGCGGAAATACTGGGCAGGAATGGGCGATTTCGGGTCGACTCGGGTATCGGGATAGAAATAAGACTGAAGTATATATGCGCTGTTGTTGTTGATGCGATGCAAAATAACAGTAAGCAATTTATCCAGCAAGCCCTCCTTCCCCTTTGTCTTCGTTTTTCTCTACAAGACATACGCATGCCAAATTTTACCAGCCAGCCCAAACTGTTCGACATCTTGTTTAAGAGACAAATGGGACAACGTGTTCTTCCATGCACTCGGAGGTCCTTCTGACGCGACGACATTGAGACCTTCGGGACAATTGCCAACCAGAAAGTCGTATTCATCCTTGCTACGATCGGAAATGGCAGGCGCCATCGGACCTCGGGCTATTCTTTAATAAAGTTTTTTTCAAAGAAAGAAAAAGAACAAAGAAGAAAAAATAATATCCTATGGTGGGGCAAATACACGCCTTCTTTTATTGAAATTCAGCTTATTAAAGAGATGCTGAACGGTGGGTCATCAATGAAGGACCTTGAACAAGAATGCAAGGGCCACCGGCAATGATATCGAGGCCGGCTTCACGGGCATAGTCCATCACATCCTTGTCCTCGGCCCCAGGCTGCAGCCAGATCTTTTCGATGCCAAGTTCTTTTGCCTGTTTGAGAACTTGTAAAGTAACTTTTGGAGGTGTAATAATCGAAATGGCAGATTTGCTGGGATCCTTTAATTTGTCAATGCTGGCAATAGCAGGAATCGATTCGACCGCCGATTCTTTCTGGATGATATATCATTAAACATATTTCGTAAAACTTATTAGTAGAGTGAAGCATAAGACCCCTGAGAGATGAAGAGTGAGAGAACAGTAGCATACGTGGTTGACAGGGATTACTGGAAGGCTGTTAGCCTGGTACCTAGCAAATTTGTTTTATTTTTAAAAAAAATAACCAATCGTACACATACTACAATGTAGTTTTTTCCTTACCATCGCAGCACACGATTGCCATACTTGGAGCGATCAGTGCTTGCTCCAACGACGGCGAACTCATTAGCAGTAATAAATCTGTAAGCTGTTACTGGGTTCATTGGAAAAACAAAAGAAGTGTGTGGTCGTGGGGAAACGATTCTTTCAAGGGAAAATAAAGTAGCAAGCAACCTTTGTGTCACCGGAATTGCAAAATCCGTTACTTAGTAATAGTTAATTCGCGCATTGATGCAAGCCTTGCGTACCTTGAATCTGTTGAACTTGAAAGTTTGATAGTCAGAGACGACAGCATGGATTGTGGCTATTACCAAGTACGACTCAGTGGATCCGTTAGGCTTTGATTTTGTAGATTTTCGGCATAATCGTTACCAACCGTAGCTGCCAACGCGGCAACAAACCGCACTCGGCTCTAAATTCAAACAGACAACGATGAGATGAAGATCATTATCAACGATAAATCATAAACCCTCCAATAGCTCCCTCTTGGCTACTACGGTTACATACTATGATAGTGCAACGAAGGAATCAACTGTAAAAGACAGCATTACAGAAGCCATTTAAAAAGTATTATCATCCGTCAAAAGTATCACTACTAATACTCATGCTCGATTATTCGCATTGTTTGTACTCAACTATAGTCTGACACTTGCAGTTTACTCGGAGCTGACGTTTACAAAGTGGCGACGGGATTTCATCGGGCACGAGCCTGGAATAATGCTTCCATGTTTACAAAGAAAACTGATTAACCACTCCTCAAGCGTCATAATATAAAGTGTGAGAAACTTACACGCCTTAACTGTTATTTCACTTATCATATGTGGAAGATACATTTACACAGGGGTTGGGCTTGGGGATATCAATAAAGATTTGCGACACGGATGAGCTACTTTTTCTACATGTCCCAAATTTTACGAGTTCGTCGATACGCTTATCATTCTGCTGAAGGTTGCACTGTAAACCATCGCTGTTGGTAGATTATCGTCATGCTAGCGCTATCATTACTATCTGGGCTGGTATCGGCTATCGCGCGACGGCTATCTGGATGCTTGTCACATTCGATTCCTCAATTTATACTGTCATATATTCCTACTATGAGCTACAACATCGGGCTTGCATCCGCTTGGCAAAAAACACCTCACGTCTCTACAAATCACTCAGTTTTTTCTTGGTATGTCCTTGGCAGCGGTCTATCTCTTGACGTCCAGATGTTCGGCATTGATACCCGGTGAAAAGCTCGCGGTGAAGCTCACTTTGAGCTACGTGATGCCCTTGACTTGACTGTTTTTTTTTATTTTGCCCGAAAATCGTAGGGTTGGCGTCAGCAGCGACTACGAGCAGCAGTAGCAGAGAAAAAGGAGCTAGATTTATGTTTGGTGCGGTTCTCTGTATCATGTTTCCCTCCCTTCTCCGGTGGGTCACCATAGCTGTGGCTTCATTATGTGTCGAAAAAAGGTCCAGCCAGCATAATGCACCTGAGAGAATAAAGAGATGATCTTAGTAGATCTTGTTGTTTTTCTGGTATGTAGTTCTTGGCCAATAAGCAGGTATTAACCACCACGCATTGGCCTTTCAATGACTGAGCCGTGGTTGTTGTCTAGGGATTAGTTCCGTGATAAGTAGTTGGTGTTGTCATTGACGGCCCCTTTACAACCCACAGCGCATATGTGAACATGTACAGTATTTACGTGTATCTGGTGGGTGAGCATCTTCTTGGAGCCGTTCGTTTCATTTTAAAAACAAACAGATTATATTTATTATAATTGAAGATAAAAGCTTTCTTTCATTTGATGTTTACACTGTCTTCATGAAATATTCTCGTTTCTCTGTCACATTTAAACGGTGGGCAACTTATTGACAGAGGAGACTACGTATGTCTCTTTTCTTCGATGCGGAATCCGTTCGGAATGAGTGGACAGCAGCAGCAGCAAATTACTTATCCCTGACATTCTCTGAACATCGGACGGTCGATCAAGATGTTGCTTTTTAACAAACGTCGCTTTAATTATTGTTACGCTGCATATAGAATTTAAATATGCTATACACTACGATAATTACGTCTTCCGTTCGATTTCACGCAATTATTACCACAAACATGAGTAATTCCGTCCCTTTTATAATCGCAGTCATAAAACTCTGTTCTAATCTCGGTTCTCAACCGACCTGACCCGACCCATGAGGACCCTCATGCTGTGGTCAAAGTGTTTATGAATCAGCGTGACTCTGCTCTCACAAAGCCGTGAGAAGAGGAAAAATGGGGAGTTTTATCAGCACCTCATTTACGCGATCGTAGACGCTCTTTAGCCAATCTCTTGCTAATAATGGCGATTCACGTGACTCGAGAATATACCTGATGTGGTACCTATGTGAAAAAGTTCAGTCATCGTATTTTCGACGGCTTCTTAATATGATTATCCAGCTAACGTAATCAATAATTCCCTCCTCTCTTTCCCCCATTTTCCCTTACCCAGTCCACCATGTCAGAAACGAGCAGCGAACTACCAAAGCACCTTACACCACTTCCAAAGTTCTGCCAACTTAGCAGCCGGGTATGGAGGATACTTGGATTGAACCCCGGCATGTTCACGCTGCAAGGTATGAGATAATAGATACAGCAAGCTATTTGATTTAGAGAAGAGCACAGCTAGCTCAGACATCGTTTCAGGAACGAACTGTTATCTTGTTGGTAGCGGCGACCGCCTGGTGCTGATCGACTGTGGTGAAGGCATACCAGAATATATACCATTATTGCAGCAATCGCTTCAGCAAATCTCGCCTAATGCATACATATCCGACCTCCTCATCACACATTGCCACACAGATCACTGGGGCGGTGTCAAGGACGTGCTTGGAATGGACAGCAGCATCAACGTGCATAAATTTCCAGCAACATCAACTGCCTACGACGGCCAGCGCTTCCAAGAAATCTTTCCCTCCGATGTCGAATTATTACCGCTTCATGACGATCAAATACTCAAAATCGACGACAATACAACACTACGCGCGATTCACGCGCCCGGCCACTCGTCTGACGACTGTAGCTTTTGGCTGGAGGAAGAACAAGCGTTGTTTGCAGGAGACTGTGTCCTCGGTTACGGTACAACATCCTTTGACGATGTAGCAGTATATATCAACTCGCTCGAGCAGTTAAAGGCGCTCAATCCCAGAGTCTTGTATCCTGGTCACGGTCCAGTCGTGGACGACGCGATAGGCAAGATCCAAGAATACATCGAATTACGCATACAACGAGAAAACGAAATTCTTCAAGTGATTCTCGCCAACCCGTCAAAGCCGACATGGACAGCATATGAAGTCACTGCAGATCTTTGGAAAGGAAAACGAGAAACGCACGACATACGAGATATCCATGTACGGGGAATTGGGTTGCACCTGAAGAAGCTTGGAGAGGATGGCAAACTAAAGAAGCTAGACTACATTGACTCCACACTGGAAGAAAAGATATTCCTAAATCCTTGGTCCAAACCAGAGATACTAAAGATCGTATGGATGTACACTGGCGGCCTTAAGAGCCAATTATAGAAATTAAAGGGATCGTTCATTCTAGATTACCACTTATAAATGCATGTTGTCTCGGCAACAAGTAACAAATCGCTTTGTGACACTCTTCTTGCCATGACAGCGCAATCAACTCCGCGTTTGATTGTTGCTTTTTGTTTTTCTACCTTTTCACAATGGACGACACATTAGCCCAAGTTCAAGAAAAATGCGCATTGCAACTTGAAATGTACCAGAAATGCGTTGAAAACTACCCTCACAGCTGGGACAAGAGCTGTGCTCAACAAAAGCAAGCGTTGACAAAGTGCTCGGAAGAAAAGTAAGCGCAAAAAAAATGCTGTCCCAGAAATCTCCTCACGTTTCCGCCTTGATATACTAAGCGATGCATACGCGTGTCCACAGCGTTGGTATTCTGAAATACGTCAAGGAGCATTGCACAAACCAGATCAAGGGCTATGACGAGTGTCTATCGGCCAACCAAAGTGAACCGGAAAAGTGTATCCAGGCTTTGAAGGAGCTGTACTACTGCACGGAAACTACATCAGCAGCATATCGTCAGCAGCATCAATCCCCACAACAACAACAGCAACAGGATGCTTCTGAAAAGAAGAAGTAGAGAGTTTACTGTAATAGAAGGTTCTGCCATGTACATATAAAACTTGCTTTAAAGCCGTATTACTCGTTTTTTTTTATTCTACACGTGGATATCCTGTATACTTGGCGAGCTGTATGTTTCCAACTGTCGCTTTCCTCGTCGAAGCATGTATTCAATCGTTACAAAATCATTTTTACGTATTTGGTGTGCACGAAACTCTCGTCGAATATACGCATAAAAGTGCGGTCGGTTTTCCTGTGTATTTTTATGGCGTTAAAAAGGATCGCTAATCGTTCCAAAGACAGACTGCCAAAGCCAATTCCTCCCCTCCTTCTGCCTTAAAGTCCAGAATGCACTTACAAGTGGTTTTGTTCTTGCTGCTCGAAAGCATTCACGGTAAAAGTTGATGACTTGCTGTTGCAGACCCGATCGTCGACCTCCCGCCATGATCTGTTGTGATGTACGCAGGATCCCTGGAGTTCGCACAACGACAATGCTTTACTGGGGGGATTTTATTTCAGTCACACAGGCAGTTACGAAATTCACTGCGTCCAGTAAGGAGGGTATTATCCCAATTTTAAACCGCCTCCATACCACGATACTGACATACATGAAGAAAAACAACCATGTCACTTTTGACAGATTAGAATAAATGCTAGAAAATATACGTTGATATGTGTTTATCACCATGATGCATTATCTAAAGAATAGAAGAGAGCAGAAAATAAGATGCTTTGTTGTCGTTTATTCAAGTTCCTCTATTATACGCGCTCTATCGGCTCTGAACGCATCAGCTTGCTGGTGCGTCAAAATGATGGGCTGCCATACTCTCGATAATGCTTCGAATTAGATTCAAAATCTTTTCGTTGTGGAGCGTTAGATTTGAGAAGGAGCCCTCCAATAAGGCTGGTTTGGATGCATTATAATACATCTTGTTGTATCATATGTGCCGTTCCTTTTAGAAACGTGTGTAATAGTTGCTGCTGCTTTCTAAGCTGCTCACTGAATACCTTGATAACCTTCGATGACAGTTTGTGTAACATGGCAATAACGAGAAACATGATGTGTACGTGCCTTTTAGTCCTTTCAAGAGCTTTCAAACTTGCACGAGCTGCGATGCACCGAAACAATGCTACACCCAATATGGGCAAAGTCGTCCCAACCGTTCGAAATTTATCTTGAGAATGATCTGATCTTGTGTCAGCATGATGAATGCGTTTGTATCCTCTCGAAACGGTGATGTGTGCATGCTCAGTGGTGACTCGGGATGCTAAAACGACTCACTTGATGTACAGAGAATACTGTATCTCCAATGACGTTTAATGACATCAATGATGGTACATGAGTGAAGCCTTGCAAACACGGCGAGAATAACGGAGATGTCGTCCGAAATGTCGAAAGAGTGCACTTGAAGAAAAAAACAGCTGTGCCGAATAGAAACTGGCGAGCCTGCCTTGCCACAATTTGGACGTATGACATAGTGACGAGTGAAGTTGACGACGCTGTTTAATGATAGTATAGTGTTGAATATTTCAATACTTGGGAAAGGAGTGGAAAAGAGAAAGAGGATAGAAAATCAGGATCAAAAGTTGGTTGGCGGAGGTGAAGTAGATCATCATGCAGGCTCACAGCAAGTTTATGCGTTGCATCCTAAAACATAAAAATACCTTTACCCCAATTTGGACGACTTTGATTGTATTTACATGCATTAAAAGGCATGTATAGACATGTAAAGGCGCTTTAAGGCCTTTTACATTGTTGAGATGTGCAGCAGAGGCACGCAATTTTGATTATTCAATTTGATGCATTCACCTTTATTGCAATGACTGAAAAAAGGAAGCCTAATGTCGGCACATCGACGATACTACATAGAAAGTAGATTGTACATAGAAAATTATGTTAGGATGTGGACACCGTGCACATGAGGTAAGTTATAAGTAGTACCTTCCAAGCAGTTTGGAGCTTACAACCAACATCGTACATAATACCAATGTTGTTTCCGTAAAGTTCGTTGTATGTCACTTTCTTAAGATACTAAGAACATATGTATAATTAATCGTACACAGAGTGAGTACTTTATACATGATCAGACAAAAAAGAGGAACAGCAAGCTAAATACCGTTCGCCTTTGCTACGCATATCGACTTTAGCAATCGGATAGCCGTGGCGACCACAGGTACACGCAAAAGCACCGGTTTGATCAAGACCCTTGATCGATCCGCCTTGCTTTTCAAGCGCGCCAAAAGAGGGACAGCCATCTTTAGCCTTATACATGTAATCAATATAACTGTATTAGATACTGTTACATGACTCTCAGAATATTTATCTCACCGATTCTTTATAAGGAATGAGCGTTTCATCGTTAACCCAGAGCATGTTCACTTCTTCATCTTTAAAATTAACACCCTGGACATCCTTTACGTGACGAAAGCGCCGTAGCTGGAAGTTTCCGTCTAGTGCTGTAGTCTTTTCGTGCTCCTACCATATATTAACCATGACAACCATTAAAATATGTAGGCATACTTTTGTATATCTTTTTTTAAATCAAAAAATTGAATCACTACAGTACCACGTATCTGCAACCTGGGCAGACATTGTTCTCTACACCAAACTCTTCCCTCAACTGTTTTTTTAAGCTTAGAAGTATTCTGCCAAATATAGGCAGCGCATAGTTCAAGCGAGACTTGAGAGAAGCAGGAACCTAAAAAACAAAAGTACATTTAAAAAGCTCGCTAAATGAAAGATTGCCCTAGAAAAAGTAATACCTCTTGCTCAAAATCTGCTTGTAGCCATTTTGCAATATTGTGCACGGAGACGCGGCAAATGTAATGCAAATTGTGGATTGTCTGCATAAACTTGATATGCACTGCATGACGGGGGCTTTTGGCGTCAGAGGAACCATATGACTGCGCATTGGCACCAAAGGCAAAGCATAGTCAGGGCACGACTTGCAGTATTTGATGTCAAACTGTCGAATACCTAGATAAAACAAGAGTATTATTTATATATAAAGTATCCCAAAAAAACAATACTTACAGCACTTAAAGATACAGGCGACAGCCTTGTGGGCTTTTTTATCAGCAGCGCAACCACAAATCTTATGGGTGGCAGGCTCGAGTGCCTCTGCGACCGGTGCTTGCTTATACCCTTCTTTATAGGGTTTGAGCAAAGCAGAAAAAAGGCTAAACAAGCATACTGCATGCTTAGCAGCTGGAGTCTGACGTCTTGGCAGATCGTCAACATGGTCCGCTTCAAAATTAGTTGACCATGCATCAGATGGAGAAGAATTAGCGGGCAGTGATGATGTTCGAATGGTTTGGTTATATCACTTGCAGTCGACATATTGACCGTGCTTGTCAATCTGACAAGCTTCTTCCCTTTATCCGAGAATGAATAGGCCTTTGTTGTTTGTTTACACTTTTGACGTATATTGAGACATGCTTATTGCACTGATAATAGGAAATGGGGAATTAAGGCTTAGGCTTATTCAGGCACACTCAGCCACTTTCTGCTAGCCCAGTGTGTAAATTTATTCAAATGCCGCAGCTGGAACCGTCCTAAGAACAATTAACTCATCCCTCTGTATACATGGCCGAAATTAGCCGATAATTTCTCCCAAATGTTGCTGAGAGGACTCTGTCAGTCTTTAGCCAATTTTAATGCATCTCGTAGGTGATCAAGTGCTTGTGGATACCTAGGTATTATTTTTTAGACAGAGCCGGAACACACACGCACACACAGATATGTACATATACAATAACAACATGTAGGGACTTGTAAACTTACTCTTTCTTTTGATAATGGTATACTGCCATTTCGTTAAATAGGAAAGGATCGCTGTTGCATTTACTGTAGCTTTTATTTAGATACACAAAAGCAGCATCCAGCATGTTTTGCTCCAAGAATTGTACGCCAATGTACATGTCAGGAAGATGTGATCTAATATTCGTTTTTTTATCTTGTGAGCAGCACGTACATTACAAGATACACATTTCTAACGCGGATAATAAGATTGTTCGCTTGTTTACCTTGGTACTAATTTGCTGCACATTGCATATGCACTTCTTGCTTGGTCGTGATCTTTTTCAGCGGCAAATGCATGCCCGTAACCAAGCTAAGAGTCTTCAAAGTACTGATCGATATCCGTTGCTCGACTAAATAAAATATCGTTTAGAAAATCAATGTCGTATGAGCACTCGTATTGAGGGAAATGGAGTACAGAGGACAGCTATACCTGAAATGGCGACGTGCTTCTGAATATTTTTCAATGTAAAGATTATACATCCCCGCGGCATGCCACGTCACTGCCTCGTCCTTTAGCCTATCCACCAATTCTTGGGTCAAGATATACAGCTCGACTTTCATCTTTAGCTCGTATCATATAAGCACGTAATGTATAATGGAATCGATTTTGTATAGAAAGCATCTTCTTTCCGTATTCTAGATATAACGAATGAATCATTATTATAAGTGAGTAGATCCAGGAAAAAAATTGTCAACAACTAATTCAGCAGACTTGGCACGTACTCTTGGCATACACTTAGGCATTCTTCGTATTTGCATTCTGCCAGTAATGTCCGTGCTTTACTATGCATAACATTGAGACTCTTTTTCAAACCGAAATCGTTCTCTGCTTCCTTTTGCGCTTGTTGCATATCCTCCTTGTGCGAATACTGATGGTATAAACGGCGAGCAATTAGTTTTAGGACGAAATCTACCTAAACAATTATTCATAAGGGGTTGTTGCTTCTTACTCTTTTTAGCTGGATCATATAACGTGATCGAAAAAAATCCGCATCAGATAGACCATAGTGTTCTTCGTAGGGTAAGGTGGATATAAAGTCCCATTCTAGAAAAACATGTACTGTTAGTTTTGAACCATGTTGAAGTAGAAATAACTTTGGAGCAGGCATGTGCACTCACCGGCTTTTTCTTCCAGCATATTCTTTTCAGTCAGGGCAACCAATGCCTGATAAAGTTAGCAGACATGTTAGCATGACATTTATGCTAGACGGCACATGCAGAATAATTCGAACTCACATCGTAGCACTTGACGTCAACACGAAGTGCTTCTTTGAAACAATTCTTGACGATGAACATTTCCGGTTCGACCTTGAAGCCAGATTGCTGCATGTACGGGTTGTTCGTTTCGAGCAACGTGAATCCCTGCTTGATCTTGTTGGCTCGAACATCCGGCTTTTGACATGTAAAAGTGATCATTTCAGCCGTCTGCTGCTCGTCGAGCTTTTTGTTGTATCGCTGGCCAGGGACAATGTCACAGACTTCCATAGGCAAGAATATAGTTTTGCGCACGATGATACACGGCAGAAACGGGAAGCGGAGGCCCATGTTGTAGTGAGCCGTAAAGTACTGTGCTACGCTCATTTCATTGTTGTCTTGGTCCTTGAAGAACGTACGATCAGCTGGCGCAGGCGTCAAGCCGTAATCTTGTATTTGAACTTCTTTTCACCTCGATGTCTGACTTGTATCTGGACATTCTTCAGTGCCTTCTCAAGCTTGGCTCAGTCTTTGTTTGGAAGGCCACGTCGAAGTTCATCAATCGATTGGCGGCCAATGATCTTAGCAACCACTTCCAGCAGGGGACCACCCTCCCGAAATACTGCTGCACTGACATCAGCATTGATGTACATGCTCCCGACCCCAGGCCGGGACGTCTGGAAGTAACCTTGCCAGACTTCAAGACCACCGTGAAGTGATTGACTTCCAACAGGTGTATAAAAAGAGCGGCCTACCACGGTGTTGTACTTCATGCTTGGCAAATACCGGATGAGGACATCAAGCGCCATAACGGCTATATAGTAACCAGTGTGTTGTTGTTGTGACTTTTAGTAACGATTATATGGATGGTCCACTCATGTACACACACACAAAGACAGAGAGAGAATGCTTTAGATATTATATAATACACACCTGTCAGGCAGTTTGTCGTCAGACTTGAAGTGCCCTGCAGGAATCGATGCAGCTCTTCCATTTTAATTTCACCAGCTTTCTTGATCTTGACTTTGAATATACCACTAGAAGGCTGGGTGGACGATGTACGGGGTCCAGTAGCAGCAGCACCTTCTTGCGGCAGCTCCACCTACAGTGATTAGCAGACATGACACAAGCCAATAATTATGTGTTTTTTAGTAAAGATATAGGGTCAGTGACATTCTTTTCACACAAACAGTAGTGCATTTACCTCAAACTGACTCGCCTCATGAGCTGTCAGAGTTCTTAAAGGCATAGCTGTAAAGACGTTCTTGCGTCCGTCATAGATAGCACGAGAACCATTCAAGATACCTTGGCCTCCGGTACTTTCAAAGGCCTTCCAGACTCGACGATTGAGAGCTGGAGGTATGTTCGATGACTTGTTTGCCATGTCCGCGATTTCAATGTGGTAATGATAGACATTGCCACGCAGGAACGATTGTACTCGGAAAAAGTTGGAGCGGACAGACACAAGTGCGCCTGCTATGCCCGGGTTTGGACGCATCACAAAGTCTGTGAGATTCAACGCCATGCTTGATTTGTTGGAAGAGGTGTTACTGGAAGAGGAGTAGGAGAAGATGTAACAGAGAAAAAATATACCGAAAAGTGAAACTGTGGTCTTTTTGACCATTGCAGTGAGTGATGGCAGAGAAGTACTGGTAATCTCATACAAGACTCACAGCACATGACAGGTTTATGCATGTGCATCAGAGACAGTTCCAATGTATACAATTGACTTGATAATTGTTAGTACCATACTTCTAGTTGCGCTATGATAATAGAATTATGTAAATAGTACATAAATGTGAGTGATGTATGAAACAAAAAAATACGTCACCATTTATAGACGGTCTCCTGTGAGGAATTTAGTGCTGCAGAAGGTGTTCCAGATTTATACGTGACATGAATGGAAATAACAAGGCGTTCTACATATACTGTAGTGTTAATCCTTCTTGATCTTACAGCACAGCACTGCCAACATCAGCAAGTTAAGAATATAACATGGAATACAAAATAAAATGCACCTCTACGCGGTTGGAGTATCTCAGCGTACAGTATGTGATAGATGCTATTTATTTTTAAGAATCGTTCATACAGAAGCTGTAGCGTAATAACAATAAAAAGCGTTCTCTGACATTGAAGGAAATAGTAGAGGTAGTCATGCATATGGCAGCTGTTTCATATGTCGGTATATGACATTGTGTTTATTCAGATTCTCTAATGTAAACGAGTAAAGGAGCATGTGAATGCAGAAAGCTCCTAGAGGACGCTGGATGGTAGACTTTGAATGCTATCATACATAATTTTTCCCGACGTGGAGTTTTTTCATCATTGCATCACGTCTCCATTTACCAATATCACCCCTCCACACGGTCTCTCATGTAAGTGGACCGCATGCCCCGTCCACTTAGTCTTCCATAAAACGTAAATTCTAAGCTAATGCTGCACAAAGCGGTACAGAGTGTGGCGCATGATGACAGATATCGTGATTTTGTGCGACAACAACTTGTGTAGCGTTTGCACAATGCATTGTGATATAGAAGCTCTTTGACAGCCTGCATTTCATGCAATTAAAAAATCGCATTCCGTATATCGAATGCCTCGTGCACTGAATCCGGTTTTTTCAAAGAGCTTTTTGTTTGCGCTATGCTTCTATGCAGCAAATTTTCGCTCTTGCCGATTTCTCTTAAAAAACCATGATGCTGGTTTTGGACTATAATTGCTTAAGGTTGCTTCTCCATATGTAATATAGCTTTTTCGACTTCATCAACAGCCACATTACCATATGATACAGTAGTGTAGTAAGAAAGAGCCTCCATCTAATAAAGATACATTAGACGTATAATGGTGTATATATATACAGTATTATACGGCTTAAAATCTTCTACATGCTGCCAAGGCTACTGTACATCATCTTTAATTCTACAGTACTACAACAACTTAGCATGGTATCATGGATATAGTATGTCTTCTTCTTTCTGCCAATCTTCGAGAAGACAATTAGATGTCAAGCTCGGATACCTTATATGGCTGCCAAACGATAACAAGGTGAGACTTAAAGCAGCTACATATTTCTGTTGTACATATATAGTAAATTGTACAATAAACGCCATAGAGGATGCTAAATGAAACCCATATAGTTTTTTTTATATGTTTGTAACAATAAGATATGCAAAAAAAAAAGTTAAAAATGACATATAATACAGTAGTAAGAAAGCGACTGCTTTATGGCGCCGGTCAATCCAATCTTTCTTAATAGTATGAAATACAATACGAGAAAATCAGTGAGGCTGTGTCTACAGCTGCCATATAAACTGGCTACTATGTACTCTAGCCATGGAGATTTATAATACAAAATTAGGTAATAATGATAATATAAAACATCATGCGTTTGCCGAGCGTTGTAGCCCAGGATGAGAGAGATAACAGGTCTCTTTGATGGGGAAAAACAGTTTTTCATCGCTACTCCTAGCGCACGTATGTTTACAACTAAGCTTTGAATACTGGAAGTATACATCTAAGAAAGCTACAAAAGTCAAATTGAAGAGAATGAACAATATCTGTATCAAAAATTTAGTGCCTGGCTTGCAGCTTCCAATCGAGCGATCCGCACCTTCTGGTTGAATAGAAAAGAAACGGACATGATGTCGCTTTTGAGCCACCACAAATGTCACTGCGGTTTTGTACCCGTTGTCAAGCTCCTCACATACACTGTGGATTACCCGAATCTCTTCAATTCGAACAGTCTCAACCTGACTGTCGGCGACTCTGTCATGAGAAAATAACACCCGTAGCGGCTTCTGACCGCATGATTGATGAAGCGTCTTTTGAAGCATTTTGACCATACCCTTCGAATCACTTGTAATTCCCGTGTTTTATAGCTTGCATTCTGATGGCACTCGAGTATCGCGTGGCTCGCATATCCATGCAAGCCGTCAAGGCGGCAATAGAGGCTTGGTTCATGTTACCAGGTGATGGATGTGTCACATCGGCGCCAAATACGATTGTCGGTCGCTGGGAGACGAAAGGGGTTTGCTCTGCTGGCAAACAAGCATTCAAACCACCAAGCTCCATGTTGAATTTTAAGCAAACGTTTGCACAGTATTGAGCTTTGGACCGACCACGGTCATTAATGAGGGGCCTCTTATCTCCCTAATTCCATTGGTCAACAATCATTCACTAAACAACCTCACAACTTCTATCCTCCGCAAAACCGTCTCCACACACCATCATTCCCCCACCCTCAGCGCTTCTATCCCGTGGAGGCGTTTCTGGGCGATGCAACTACCTCACTATGCACGGACGACGTGGTGGCGCCTGCTTATTCTGCGCATCGACACATGCCTGACCGGTTCGACGACGCGCGATGCCGCCTCTGCCAGCATGTCACCGAGACGGTAGTAGACCATTTTTTCTTTACTTGTCCCTCCAAACAACCGCTTTGGCAACGCATGCTCCGACACCATCATTGCTCCTATAATTTTCAAGAGCTCAATGCTTATTGCCACACGCTCGATCCACCTCGGTCCAAGACCACCGCCACGATCCCACCACACACGATCATCATCGCCGTCCACCTCATCTGGGCATCATATTGGCGATATATATTTGATGACACACCTTTCGATGCCAGCCGCATCTACAATATGATCTCGACAAAGGTACAGGATTTCCGGAGGAGGCTGCCGGCAAGTTCACCTGGGGACTATGATAGGGAAATCGATGTAAATCACTTGAGACATAGCTTGAAGACGACGATATAGCTAATTAGCATACACCCTAATGTTGAAGCTGTTGGGAACTGTATCGCTGAACTAGTGGTGGCTCTCCTTCTCTTGCTTTCTCTCTCTCTTTCTCTCTTTCAGTAGAGCTTCAAAAAGGCTGACCGCGTTCACCTTGCATACAGAAATAACGAGCAAAAAGGTCAGTGAGCGGTTTTCTGCATCTCACGATGCGCGCACCCAAGGCAAGACAAGACCTTTCTTTTGTAAAAGCTAGACTAGCTATGATATCCGCAATTGTGATGTAATAGTCGTAGCTCCCCCTTCCATCTCTCCCATCTCCCCCCAATCAGTAGTACAGCCCCTATTTCTTATCAGAGCAGTATCTATCAATAAACATTGGTTAATTACACGCGTGACAATCACATGCGATACTGCATATCAGAGCCATTCTTTTGGAAAAATCGACAGCAATCATTATCGAAGCCATCGAGCCTTCATTCGCGAGGCGCTTTACTCGACACACATCGTTCCCAGCCACGCATACTTGATAGCCATTTGGCAACTTTAAGAAAAGAAATTCTTTGCTGGTACATGCTCTGTAAGCTACTCATCAATCATATCAGGTATCCGTTTGGGTGGCGCGTCTATTGATCGAAATTTCCCTTGAAGCTTTAAAAAGCAATGCGTCGTAATTTAACAAACCATTACATGTTGAGACAAGGTCGACCGCCTGTCAACGTACGCAATGTGCTGTTCCCCCATCAACAACTGCTTCTTGACTTGGAAATGCAGCCAGTGGCAATTTGGACAGTAGCGGATCAAAAGATACACATGACAGTACATATCTTCACATGAAAGAATCAGGCTCTTTATTGGACAGAACTATCGCAACAGCGGAGAACAAGTAGGGCAAAACCACAGTCGATATCATTTCCCAGCACGGGCAGTCTGTATCAAACAAACCGACATCAGCGTAAACACTCATTTGAATATGCTGCCAGGTCACTGACAGGCCACAAAGGTCGCGTCGTATTGACATGGCGGTGTCTTAAAAAAGAATCTAGAGAGAACAATGAGCTGCATACGGTGCACACACTTCCAGTATCGCAGTGAGCCGTGCTCATAGGCAACACCAACCATCACCATCTCATGCAAGTCACTGCCCTTAATGACTACGTTATGAAAGAGAAAGCCATAGTGATGAGCATGCTGCGGCGGTGGGGCGGGACGTCAAAAAAAAAAATAAGACCAAAGATAAAAAGAACCGGTCCAGATTTTCCTTTCCTTTCCTTTCCTTTCCCTTTCCTCTCCTACTACGTTTTTCACACACAAACGACTACTTGCTCACTCTCTCATCCGGTCCCCTAGATTCCCTCACCCATCCTTCAGGGGACGCCTACGACTGCTTCTTTGGGGAGAGAAGGAGCAGGTTGGTAGGGTTGGCTATTGGCAGTGCAGTGTTGCGTTTTTTGCATATGCGAGGAATACCGGCTCCCAGAATATAGCTAGAAGGACAGCTAATAAAAACTATACGTCCACTACGCCGACTCGTTGCCTTTCCCCCACCCTGTCTTGTCCGCCTTTTTATTTTTCTTTATCGTTCATTGTCACTCTTTTTGTATCTAGGATAGAAAGTACCCGGCTACTAACAGTTCCTTTTTTACTCTTAGCTGGGGCACCCCGAAAGCCCCTGGATGGTCCCCCCTGTGAGAGTGAGCAAGCAGACACGCGTGTGTGTGAAAAACCATATTTCTCCCCAATAAGCCCGTGGGGGCAAGATATCACCACTTTAAGTCCTAATGACGTG